GAGAGAGAGAGAGAGAGAAAGCTGGTGTGTACGTGTATACGTATATGTATACGCGCGTTTGTGCGCGAGGAGTTAAGGGGTGACGGTGGTGGGAGGCGGGAGAGAGGTGAGCTATCCCCCAGCTAAGAGGGTTTGCTTGTATCCCCCGAGATGCGCATACGTCATCCGATTAAAATTAGTAATTAGCTAATTAACTTAAGCGCGCAGCACTCCGGACTAAGTAAGTTGACCGCCTGATTATGATGCATCGCTTCTGAGTTCGGTTCCGCGCGAAAAAGGCGCGCGCCGCGAAAAATCCGCCGGCAGAACGAGAAAGGATGGAAAAAGAGGTCTCTCTTTCTCTCTCTCTCTCTCTCTCTCTCTCTCCCGCTCTCTCCTTCAGTGCCAGATCTGGAAAAATCTAACTTTCGGACATTGAGCTTCTTCGCGAGTTACCTCGTCTCGTCTGACTAATAATGACGCGGCTGTCGCGGAAATGTAAAAAAGTATTTTCACCGTTTTGCACCGTTTCGAATCTCCGACGAAAAGGAGTAACACACCGCGTGTCTTTTTCGTCCACACTGACCGATCGCGTGCGAGCAGACGGGGATTATTTATCGGGTGACAGTCCGTGTCATCACGCCGCACGGAGTGCGGCTAACTTTCGGTCGAAGCTCGCCGGACGCTCCGACACTCGCGGGTTAAAGGATAATAGGAAGAATAGATCCTTTGCCGCGCGCGGCGCGGCGGCGCGACGCGACGAGGGCGTGAAATTGACGTATTATATGCACGAGATGATATCTATGGGGAGAGTCGATCGTATCTTCGTATCCGTATCCGAGACGGTGCTCGCGGTGGAGGGACGCGAGAGTCGAGAGTGATCCAGAAGTGCTTTCTCGTGTTCCTTAACTAACCGTTCGCTGGTCCTCCGGACGTCGCATCGCTCGCACTTGCCTGCATCAGGGAGGAAACGGTGTAGAAAGAGAGAAAGACGAAGACCAAGACGACGACGGCGACGACGACGGCAACACCACTACGCGCCCGCGTATCTTCACCCACACCCTATCTACCGGTCGCTCTTATCCTTCCTATCCCCCTCCCCCCTCCCCCCCCCCGCCGCCCGTACAGCCGCGCGGTTACCTTCGGAAAAACTTCGCAAATGGCTTCGAAACCGGCGCTCGCATGCTCTTACCGTGGCAATCGCTCGCAATTTGCAACGGCTGCATACGAGACGTGCGAACACTGTTTTTTAGATGACGCCACGCCTTGTACGGTGAGTGTCCAAAAAAAGGGAGAAGAACGAATTTCGGGATTGCGTCGGGAATTCCAAAGCGAGGAGAGATCTTGCTCGCGAGAACGAGCAGCCCCTCCCCCCGGTCCCCCGGAAATTCTCGCGTTTCGCCCCCGCGTCCTCCAGTAACGAATGCATAACGTCGATTATTCACAACTTGTACGCTTCCTTCATTTTCGTAGAAACGGACAGCCGAATAGCCGTCCGTGAACATGAATTTGCAATTAATTACGCTCTCAATAAGAGATCGTAAATAATTTGCGCCTATCGGTCAATCTAACGTGAATCCCGCGAGTGTAACATTTTCCACGTCTAATAACGCTATTGTTATTTTTCCAAGATCGATTCAGACCTCCGTTGGTCGCCTTCACACCTCACGACTTCCGGATAGATTATGGATAAGCAAAGTTTGTTATCCTATCTGCGCATGTATTAATTGTTTAATGTTTGCTCATTTCGCGTACTCTATTTGCAACTGGGTAAATTACGTGATTATTATATCGCTGATTAAAATTAAGAATTAAAATTAACTGGAGGTAAGATGTGTGTATGGAGGTGATTAAATATCAAATCATTCTGAAAAATTTTTTTGAAATTCAACGTGTGAAAAACCGGCGGTAAATACTCGCTCGTAACGTCTATTATACAACGAGGTCAGATAATTGGCTTGTCGTACGCGTGGGAAATCCCCCATTGATTGACTCTTTAAATTCGACGAAATTTCGAGGACTAAAGTACAATCAAAATTTCGACTCAAGTGTAAACGCGTGCGAGATTTTTCCTTCCTCTCTCTCTCTCTCTCTCTCTCTCTCTCTCTCTCTCTCTCTCTCTCTCTCTTTCGAGCGGGTCTCGAGAGAAGATTACCTGCCGGTCTCCTTCGAGACAGATTCGCGACTCCGTTCGCTAAGTGACAGTAACGTAGCCGGAATTGCGACCATTGGGAAGGCTCGGAAGTAATGTGTCATCGTTAAAGGATTGTAAAGGATGTAGGGAGCTGTCTCCCCCTTCGTTTTCTCCCGTTACGCTGCCCGGTACGCCTTTCTACTCCGTGAGAAAGAGATTTAACTTTCTGGAGGAGCGAACGCTACCTCTCGCATCGCGCCGTTAAATCCGATAAATAATCCCAGCCGCAAATTTGAGAGAGGCGGAAGCGGCATCCGTTAGCGCAGCGCTAGCTGATCGCGCCGATCTGCTCTCGGTCGCTTGCGAAGTGACAGTCGGCTTTTGGCTGTCGCGACTCGCGCTCGTTGCGCGAAATCGCCGAGAGTCTCGCTAAACGACGTTTGCGATGGTCCTCGCTATCGGAAGATATCGATTCCTCCCGTGGCCGGGAGAGACGCCGAGGCTTTCGATTCCAAAGTAACGAGGTCCGGTAATGGGACCCGTATGTGTAATTTACCGCGGAACTGAAAGCTTGCGCGCGCGCGCGCACGACCGCCCAGGCTTGTACACACGTACACGCAATGGACGCACTCACTCGCACACATATACTCCAGCATCTATCCACCCACACACACGTCCACGCACGCACGCACACACGAGCGCGCCGTGGTCCTTGATTAAAATTTCTTTAGAGTCCTCCCCCTCACATCCTGCACGGCGTTCGTTTGTCTCTCGCTCGCCTCTCTCGTCCCAGGCGCGGCGCGCTCGTCAACCTCCATGCGGGCTCCAGCAGCAGCAGCAGCAGCAGCAGGACAACGGAGAGGACGCACCTCGATCCGCTTAACGGACAATTAACGTCGGGATCCCGGCGAGGCGTGTAACGAGCACACAATCTCCGAAAAAATTCAACGGCGCGTCTACTTTCGGCGGTCAGCGTCGGGAGAGCGTCGCGTGATTGAATCGCGCGTGCGCGCGCGCGAATTCAGCCGAATCGATTTTACGGGCGATTGTCTTCGGTAAATGAGTTATTTGGCACTCTCCGTCTGATTTCGGAGCATCGCGCGGGGCGGGCGAGAACGTCGTTGCAATTTTGCCGAATTTCGGACACGCGACACGCGCGAAAATCAGCCCGGTGTTTAATTGCGACGATAGTGCGCGCGCGCGCGCGCGACGTTTAAAACGCAAGATTCTTCGGCGCTGCGTCGTCCGTGTCGTCGGAAATTAAACTCGCCGCTGTGAACACGGTCGATTCGAATCTTCGCCGCTGTAGCGGCGATGAGACGCGCGTAATAACTACTCTGTCGGTACACAGCGGGGCGAGAGTGAAAAAGCGAAGGGTGAAAAATCCATGAGAGTCCTACCTCCCCTGCCCCCCGCGTTACGCAGGAAAGAAAGGAGGAATAGAAAATATGCCGGGAAGAATTTTTTAATTAGAAACCCATTTCACCGGACGGGGATACGCGAGCGCGCGCGCGCTTCGGAAGAAGAGAATAAAGAAAGAAAGAGAAAGAGAGAGAGAGAGAGAGAGAGAGGGAGCGAGTGAAATTTAAAAGGGTCGAGAGGCGTTGAAACAAAACTTGCGACACCTTTCCTTATTCGTTCCTCTCCTCGCGGGAGGAACAAGGCGAGGTAACGAGGAGGAATTCGGTGTGTGCGTCTTGTCGTCGCGTTTTCAAGCGTCACGCTCGGCCGCTCCTCGCCCGCAACGAGCTCGAACGAGAATTATTGTCCACCGTCGTTCGCGCTCAGACGTCCATCGTCTCCACCGGTTCTGATTCCCCCCCCCCTCGCCGGTCCATCCGGGGGAAAAACGATCGCTCAGTCTCGGAAAAATGCGTTATGGTGAACGCGGCGATGACTGCATGCGATATGATGCGCGAAAGTAGGTTTTCCGCGGGATTTCGAGCGTACCGAACCAACTCGGGTGCTCGAGGTGAATTGATTAAAATCGAACTGCGCGCGGCGCACACGCTAACAAAGGAGAATTGCGGCACGGAAAGGGTGAAGAGAATGTAGGTGGACGTGTAGATGGAGCGTAGAATGGGGAATGGGCAAACAGAGCGCAATTAACGTGCAACCATTAAATATGTACGCGCGTTGCTACAGCGCGATGCATGTGCGCAGGTCGAGGCAAATACATCGAGTATCGAATACCCTTCCGCGGAAGCACAGAGAGAGAGAGAGAGAGAGAGAGAGAGAGAGAGAGAGAGAGAGAGAGAGAGAGAGAGAGAGAGAGAGAGAGAGAGAACGAGAGAGAGGAAAAGCGAAAGAGAGGTAGAGAGAGAGAGAGGTAGAGAGAGAGAGAGAGAGAGAGAGAGAGAGAGAGAGAGAGCGAGAGAGAGAGAGAGAGAGAGAGAGAGAGAGAGAGAGAGAGAGAGAGAGAGAGAGAGAGAGAGAGAGAGAGAGAGAGAGAGAGAGAGAGAGAGAGAGAGAGCGGGTCTCTTCGCGTAGCCTGTTGGCACAGCCGCTTGATTAGCTCCGCCATATTTACATGTCATTAGCCGATTGTTTGTCCAAGTCGGCAACTCCGCCGCTCTCTCCCTCGTGTCACCGCGGTTTAGCCATTTTTCAACGAGAATATCGGCCATCTCCGATTGAGCGAAACGCATTGCTGCGAACGAGCGTTTGTTCGCCGCGCTGGCGCGGCAGTTCGAGTTAAATGTCGCACGAGCGACGAGTTTAAAATCAAACGAGCGGACGGGCGTAGGAGGGGAGGAATCGAGGAGAACGATCTCTCCAACGCAATATATAGCGAGAGGTGTATACGCACGGAAGTAACATAAACACGGCGTCTCGGCCGCCGAAAAGAGCCGAGGACGCGCGACCGGAGGAAGATCGTGCGTGTGTGTGCTGTTGAGAAGTAGCTTTATTCCATAAAAATACGAATTTCGATCTCAATATCGTTGCCTACATTGCAATAACAACTTTTTTTTTTCTCTTAATTGTATACGCTAATTAAGTGTGAACGTGTGTCGGGCTTTTTTAGCCGGGCGGCGCGACGGCCGGCTAAAAGGAGAGTAAACGTCGAACGCGAAATAAATAGAAAAGAACTGCGCGCAGCTCCACGCGAGACGAAAGTAACGTGACGTGTCGTCGGATAATACATCCTCGTCGCAACATCCTGAACGACGAAGATGGATCCGCCGTTGCGGCTGAAATTCGCTAACGACGAAAAACTCCGGGCTCGTACAATCGTAAACAATCGAGAACGGAACGCAGTCGAGAAAGCTTCCTCGGCGAAAAATTAAACGCAGAAATCTTTGAAAGCCCATCATCGGACGGGTTTGCGCAAAGCGTGTGCACGCGCGACAAGAGAGAAACTGTGAGAAAACAGACTACACACAATAATAAACGATAAATAATGACGAACTTAAAACAACGCGAGGATCTGCGAGGACACGTCGCCGCGCGTCAGAAACGAGAGAAGAAACATCACCGCGCGCTCGCGATGTCAATCCTGTGTCACCTTGAGACGCGCGCTTCGTCGACCGACCTCCGCTCCGCCGTGCACACGCTTCGTGTCGCCGCGCGAACCCTCGTCTCGTATCTCGCATCTCGAACTTTCACCTCGACTATAATAACTTTCGCGAGAACAGGACGCGATCAGTTTCGCGTCGCGCTGCGCCGCGTCGCGTCGCGTCGCGGAACTGAAGCGCCGGACAATGGCCCTTAATGTCTACGCTTTCGATTATGGTAACGAGATTTGATTAGTCGTATTGTTCCTCCGCGGTCGTGCAGAGCTCGACGACGATCAGTCCGCCGCTGATCACTGATCCGCGCGGCGGCGATCCGCGCTCGCAATCGGGATAGATACGATCCCACCTCCTCTCATTTGCCGATATATTGCCGGTTTAAAAAGTACCACTTTTACTTTACTATTAAGGCAGTATGGTAATGTGACTCGTTTTACGTAATAATTAGGCTTCCTCCCGTGTCCTTCGTGCCTTTCCACGCGCCTTCCTCAGCGTCAAACGTAATCGCGCGACACGTCCCCGGGGTCGCGGAATCACGAATATCGCGGTATTGATATATACGCGCCGGCCTGGGCGCGTTTAAGCTGCAAAACGAAACGAATTGCGGACACATACGCCGTGGTGACAAACGCACACGCACACGCACACGCACACGCGCGACAGAATCCCCCTATTAGAGTCGGAGAAGCGATTGCTTTCATCATTCTATATCGCAAACAAACGTCACGTGTACTCAAATTTCCACTGAGAGTACTTGATATATCGCGCGTCGCTCGGTCGAACAATTTTCACGTCGGCGCAACACAAAACCGAGAACGAAGGGTATTAATTTCCGAAGGAAAAACGTCCGCGCGCGCGCGCAATGTCTCTCCTCGATACTTTCATAGGATAGAAATATCGCACGGATTTCTCTTGTTTTCTTTTTTTTTTTCTTCATTTTCTTCCTTTTCTTCCCTTTCTCCGAGAGAGATCGGCGAAATTTCGAAACGACTAGCAACGGTCGATAACGTAACGATAACGTCTCCTTCATCATATCGTATAGGCCACGGTGCAACGGGAGGCGGATGTGGGTGTGATGCGAGATCGTGCCGCTGGAAAACTTGCGCGATGTCCTCCGATCGAACGATCGAACGATCGTTGTAAAATACCTCTAGGATACGACGCGATCGTATACTGATATATAATTGCTATAGGATTACAAGGATCGATTGGCGCGAGGCGCGTCGCTCAACCGCGAACACACACGCGGCTCTTTGAGCGCGAATACGGGAGTAACGATGAGCACGTTCTCGTTGACAGTGTCATTGTCAGTATCAATATAACTAGCCTAACTATATATATATACATATACATATACATATATATATATATATCTAACCAGTGACGGCATCGTCGTCGTCGTCATCGTCGTCGTCATCGGCGTCGACGACGTCGTCGTCATCATCACCTCCGCCCATCGCCGACACATAACGCACCAGCTCCTCTTCCCCCGGAGAGGTGGGATTATCGTTGAGAAGTTCGCATATGTTCTTAGTGATGTGCGAGACCGCGAGACCGTCCGCGCCGTTCATCGCTTGCTCCGGGGTGTCGCTGTGACCGCTGCTGCTGCTGCTGCTGCTGCTGCTGTGGTTGCTGCTGTGGTTGCTACTGTGGTTGCTGCTGTGGTTGCTGCTGCTGCTGCTGCTGTTGCTGTTGCCGCTGCTGCTGCCCCCACCGCTGCTGCTGATGCTGCTCCTACTCGACGGTCTGCCGCCACTGGGTAAGTCTTGTCTCTCGGTGTCAGCCTTATCGTCAGGAACTGAGACCTCATTAAGAAGCTCCGAAAGATTGCTTTGTGCGATAGATAACGCCCCGGCCGCGTCGTCTTTCTGTTTCCTCTCGCGCGACGTCGAGCGGAAAAATAGCTTGGACGATTGCTGCGACTTGACTTGGCGAGCGCGCTCGTAATCGTTGCTCGCCGATGGCGATTGTACGCTCGACGGGCGACAGAGAGGCGACCACTTGGCGGCATCTTTCTCGTGCTTGTCCCTCGGCGGCACCGCGATGTCGCTCGCGGCACCGCGGCTCCGCCGCGTCTCTTCGTCGAGCGAATCCTCGTCGGAGTTGGAGGATGACGTCAACAGTGCAGCGTCAGCGCTAACGCCAGCGTCATCGTAGCGTCGGTCGCATGCGCCCTTTCGGCCGACACTCTCGCCGACACTATCGAGCTCCCTCCCCTCCAGCGCGACCAGCTTGCTCTTGTGTACTAGCTTTGTTCTAAGTGGCGCTGGTATATGCGCTTCTTCCAATTTCACGTGCTCGAAGAACCTCGTGAGGGCTCGTCGCTGGAGCTGGACTGTTGTTGTCGCTGTGGCGCGGCCTGACTGTTCGCGCGACTCCAGCTGCTCGTGCTCCAAACGACAGAGCTGCTGTCGCAAGAGCGGGCAGTCTCGATCGTTTGCGCCGAAGCCTCGTGACTCGCGTGCACGATCGGAGATGATATAGGGCCGGTTATTGCCTGAGAACAGTGAGTGGACGATTGTGCCGGCTCTTGACGACCTGTGCTTGCCAAGACGACCATCGCAGCTCGCTGTTTCCTCTGCTGATGCAAGAGTGGGCTTTGCGATTTGCAAGTGCTCGTCGCTGATCTCGACGCAATCGCTGTAGGATGGGAATAGAGTTTCGGTGGCGGGTCTACCGGATGATTGCTGGCTGATGCAGAATTTACCGCGTGAGAGCTTGGTCCAGGGCTTTCTGCCGTTGATGGTCGCTCGGTCCAACTGGTACTCGGCCGCGACGGGGAGAAGCCCTTCCGAGCCGATAATTCGGTGGAGTGCTGGGATTGCACGGGCGGTCTTCCTCTTACGGTTGTTACGACCGAAGAGCAGGGAATGGGCGACGACGATGCCGGCCTCGAGGGAAGAACTGCAGCCGGACGTGGTCGGCAATTGATAGTTGACAACTGCAGAGTGGCCTTGCTCGTCGGTTTGACCGTCAGCAGGCTGGTCGGACCTTCGACCAGATTCTGTGATTTTTTTAACAATGAGGTATGATTGGTGCTTTTCAGGCTGGGCACTGGTGCCTGGCAGCTGATAGGAGTAGGACATCTGTTCCTCTGCTTGGACGTAGGTGATGCCCGATCGTTGGGGCTGACTGAGAACGACCGGGTTACGGGGTACGACGTCTTGTCGTTGCTCGTTATCGGTGACTGAGGTAAACTTTCCGTCGTCGAATTGCTCGACGTCCGAGGAGGTATTGTCGGAGGTGATTGGGATGAGGAAGGTTGAGGCGGGGAGTTTATTGACGCCGAAGGTAGAGGAGAGGATGCGCTTTTTCTCATTTGCATCAACTTTATGAAGTCCACTAGACGTTTGATAGACCTCTGAGTCTTCTCCTGCTTTCCCATTAGCTCCTGACGCAAGCGTTGTTGCAACTATCGAAAAAATAAGAAAATTAATTGTTAGTACTTGTATAAAGAGAAAAAAAAACTATGAAAATATAGGGAAAATTCTTTGACGAAATTAGCGAAAACCTAGGGATTCTGTGCTCAACTTTCAGTCTAGTTACACTCGCTTGATATTTCTATATGTGTGTGTATGTGTATACATGTATGTGTCATTTGTTTGCACAGTCCGTGAGTGCAAGTCTTTTGTACTCTAAAAGCCGTAGCGGCGCCATCTTAAATTTGTTAGAAAACTCTCTCAAAATACTGTGGCGACGCCTTTCGGATTACAAATCAATTTTCAAACTAGCGCCAACTAGTTGTTCTTTCTCGTGTGAGAGAAGTAAAAACTAGTTTTCCTTGCAGTTTTTGTCAGTCGTCAGTACATTTTTTATGAATAAACATGCGCTGAGTGTTACACTGAACGACCAGCTTGTTAGGAATATCTATTAAGTAACTTATTATAGATTCTCTCTCAGTCGTTCCTTCGTTTCTCTTCGTGTATATATACTCTACATGTATATACACGGAGAATTCCTAACAAATCGATTGCTCAGTGTCATTTGCACAAACATGATATATCTTCGATAAATGAGAAATAGAGACTACTTTGAAAAGTATCAACAGAGATATTAATATGTGCATATGACAATGAAAACTGCTTTTCCCATACGGGGATAACTTACGAACGTAAATTAAAACTAAATAAGAATATTTTTCTGAGAAGGGACAATAAAAGGTATGTACGTATTAAATTTTGTGTTTTCTTCCAAGATAGTAACAACAAAGCCGAAATTTCATCTGAATACAGACATTGCGCAACTTACAAACACGATAATAAAAGTTTCGATTTATCTATCTGCATAAAGTGAAATATTCATAATTCAAATATTCGTATAATTGTCGATCAGATTCGTGTTTCATTCGCGGAACGCGAGTCCACATGATGCAAGTGCACATGATCAATAGTATCGTTCGCGTCTCTGAATCGCAAGTTGAGCAGTCTGTAATCATATAAGTTATATTTTTGCAGGTACAGTAAACAAATCACACATAATTTACGGATCAGTTCCTAAAAAAACAAAGCTAACGAACAGACATACAAATCATAATGATAAAATTTCGTTTCCGAAAGACTGGTCGATCCTGTAAATTTCTCATCCTATTTTTTTTTTATATTATTGTCCATTTCTATATTTTTCTTTATTTTCGTTTCAAACAACTGGATCTGACCTATCTTTCTAGATATGCCAAATATAGGCAACAACATAAGGAAAAACGCAGACATCTTGCAGGTTTTATATGAAATGAAAATAAAGGATGGAGAATGTTTGGAATTTACGCGATTCGATCAACTGAGGAGCATTCCAAAAGAAAGTAAACTTTGTAATTTGTCTCTACGCAGGCCACAGGACGAACCTGGAGTGACTGGCCGAGTAGTTGTGAGCGTTTTTCCAACTCGTAGACCTGCAATCTCAGATCCGAGTTTCGCTCGTGCAGCTCATATCTTTCTCTCTCTTTCTCCTCTGCAAGATATTTCGCGTTCAATACACAGGTTGTTTTTTTAGTGTCCTATCGTGGACGATCGACCAAAAAGTTCTTCCTAATTGTAAATTCTTCGGCCGTATTCGAGAAGCCGGTTTCACACGCGGACACTTCTTCCGGCATGCTGCTCTCTCGTTTATTCAGCGTGCGTGCCTACGCTCAATTAAGTCTGCGGCAACGCTGCGATACCTCGTTGTATGTTAAATCTAGAAGTTATGGGCTTATGTTATACAAATTCCTCTGTTCGTAGTTAAAATAATGCGCCTGTACCGCCTATCGGTACTTTGTGACTTTATCACGACCAAGTTTTCATATTGTTTTGCATTTCGATTTGCATTATACTCTATGCTCAATCATAGGTATCGAGAATTGGCCGATTTTACAGCAACAAAAACTTTCAAATTGCTGTCGCGACGTCGAATTAACGTCTACACCCGCAACGTCGTATTAACGTCTACGGAATCAAGAACTTTTTTGTCAATCACACGCTTTGTCTTTTTGGAGGAAGATTTCCTCTTACTGCTAGAGGAAGCTTTCCTCTTACGCTTAGAGGAAGATTTCCTTTTGTAAACAGAGGACGATTTACCGAGCTTGTCACCCTTCAGTGGCAGCTTCTCTCCATCCATCCGTTCCCCACCCTCGGCTTCTTCTTGCTTTTGTACGTTTTTCCTCGAGCGTACTAGTATTGCACATTTGGGGCACGTGCTGGGTGGAGCCGGCATGGTATGGCAGGTGACGTGATAGCTCCTTGAGCAAATCTCGCATACAGTTAACGGGCCTGCAAAAAGATGACGAATCTTTGTACGATTGTTCGTACGTGGTAGATCGCTGTCCCTCCGTCAATCTCATTAGTGTCGATAATGTACCTAAGACTGATGGGATCTTATACTGACCTGAGCTTTTGTTCCTACAAGTGATACATACAACGGACTCGTTCTCGATTCTCTCGATGGTCAAGCTAGACGGCAATCCCGGTAAGTGGACAGTCTTGCCACCTATCTGAATGGTTTTGGCACCGGTCACGGACGATTGCGTCTGCTTGTCTTCGATTTTGTTCTTGTTCACGAAGACTTTGCTGTCGGCGTTTCTCAGAATATTCGGTCTAGTGTTGGACTTTTGGACCGGGATCAGCTTCGTTATCGCACGAGCTTGCTGCGAGGTAGATTTGGTTGCTTGAGCTTTGCTGGGTGGCGGCGACGGGCCGTTCATACGAGCAGCTTGTCGGGTGTGAGGCGCGTTTCCGGATTGCATGTAGGATTGCTTTTTCTGCCGCTTCTGAAACACCCATTCAAGTATCGATACTGACTTGTGCTGATAAAGTTATTCTGTGCTACAAACGAGAGCGTCGATGTGTGTCTTCTACTTACGGCCGGTTGCTCCACCATGGAATATACAAAATGTGGGTTCGCCGTGCTGCGACGTTTCCTCTCCGCTCTCTTGTTTTGGAGCTCCAAAGCTATCTCCTTGGTAATAAGCTCGAGAGTACGCAGGAAGAATTCCTTATTCATAATCTCGTCCTCATATTCTTCCTTCGTCTCCTCTTTCTTGTTGGAATTCTCATCCATTGGCACTTCAACGATGTCATCTTCACCGGAGGCGGTTCCCACTGAGCTAGGACTTCGTCTGTAAAAGAAATTCCAACGTCCAAGAGATTCCAATATCTTCGTAAAACATTAAGTAATTAGCGGTAGCAAACACCAAGCGATTTTTCCGAGATCCGTTTAGAAAAATCTTCGCTTTTGATCGATATTGCGCGTGTGCGCGCGTGCGCTTGCACGTTCAGGGCAAACTTACTTCGCGCAATCATTATTTTGCACCGGTGAGGGAACATCGCCGTTCGTAACAACCTCCTCGTAGTACTCCTTCGAAGGTTTCGTTTCGAAACCGTTGGCGACCGTCTCGTGCTTCGTCTCGTTGTTATTCGTGATATGATTGTTGTTGTTCAAGTTCCAGATAGAAGCTATAGAAACTTTCGGCCCGTTCGGGCCGTCCGCTGCAACGCTCTGCACCGCTTTGCGCAGCCGCTCCACGATTTGCTTCTGCGTATTAGAAATCAGGGAGACACGTATATATATATGCATATACACACACACACACACACACACACATATAGCGAGTCAACCATCAGAAATTTCTAAAAAAGAAAAAAAAAAGTCTTTTAGAAGCAGCCGTCATATGAGCCGGCAAAGTAGGTAGACTTGATGCGCTCGAGCGAAGCGCGACGCGTGCATCACCCCTGGACGTTCGAACGAAGTTGCGTCACAGGGCTTGTTCATTCATGCGACAATTTTCAGGAAAGGTACAACAAAACATACGCACACGATGATGCAACGAAATCTTGGACGTTACGCGCGGTTACGCGGTTGAAGTTGCGAAACCGACGCGCTGTTTATTCTAAGTTTCAAGCTCAATTTCTACGCGATGCAGGCAAGCTCGCGCTACTTTCAAAGTAGGGAGCGGAGAGGGAGGGAGGGAGAGAGAGAGAGAGAGAGAGAGACAGAGTGCTCGCACAATTATTTTAAAAAAGCCAGCAGAAACACGAATAAACAGGCAGACGTGCTGCGTGCGGCACGTGGAGGTCACCGTCACGAAGACGCAAACGAGCGAAAAAGATGCGGAGATTTTGTAAAGAGCCGAAAACGTTTCCGCAGGACATTTTATTGATTTTGAGCCCCTCCGTCTCTCTGCCTGCCGGCTTCTCTCCTTCGCTCCAAGTTGCTCTCGCTCCTTCTTTCTGAATTGTCGCCTCCCAACCTCCCTCATCTGCTCACCCTGCGCTCTCCCCGCCCCCCGCCCCCTCCCTCCTGGCGCCCCCGGCACGGTCGCGCATCACGCTTTCCCGCTCTCGCAGCCTCTACGTATTATCCGTCTGTCCCCGTTCGTTGCGCGTTCCCGACTATTTATCTCGCTTGTTATCAACGATGCCGCGCGCGCGCGCGCGCGCGATCGAAGGAAAAAGAACGTCGCCGAAGCGGAGGCGCGTTGAAAAGGGACGCGTCGCTGCAGGGTACAAATATAACACCGCGCGCGGGAGCACCGATAAACGCCGGGCGGGCCGCGCGCGTGTCCGACTTAATCCGCGGAATAATGAGGAGGATCTCCCCCGATCGTGCGCGTTTTGCCAGGAATCTCGTAGCCGCGATTTATTAACCCCGTATCCGCTTTCGCCCGTCATCCCGGGGATCTCTTTCTTGCGAGACTCTCGCGCCGCGCGGAGTTTCAACACACACCGTCGTGACTGGGCGATAATCGATTATATTTCGTTGCTTGCGTTCTGCCACGCGAGCGATAGCGTAATTGCGACGCGATAAGAGTCGTTGCTTGGCAAAAGTTGAGCAAAGCGCGCGCCCAAGTTTCCGCCGTGCAACAGACGACGCCCATATTAATAACAACCTTGATCGATAATACGCGTTACACGGAGAATTGTGTTGTGACGTGGCGTCTCACGACAGCGATATTAGGAAAAAACGAGAGGAGAGAGGGGGTGTTAGCCCCTCTCCCGCTGTGTCTCCTGTGTCGGCGCGATCGCGCGATCGATTTGTGTCGGAGGACAGCTCGCGGAAGCATCGCCGAGGTCTCGCGCGATGAGAACTCGGGAGAGAGAGAGAGAGAGAGAACACGAAGCACCATCGCGGACATGCGAGAGCGGGGCGACGAGTTGAGACGAATCAATCGTCCGCTTACCTGGCATTTTCCCAAAGAAAGGATATGCAGCTGAATCTTTTCCTTCCGGCTGTGAATGTCCGAGTTCTGTAACGAAGCGCATCGTATCGATTAAATGAGCGCTCGAGCGCGGACGCGAGCGCCGACTCGGCTCGATTATTATTCAATGGTGTATCGAAAAAAACATGAATGTTCGAATGGATCGTTGAGGTCGTATTTTTACGTCGCAACACGGAAGTCCGTGAAGTCGTCATCGCGCGCGGTAATTAAAGCAGACGCTGTTAAAAACGTCGCGACGCTTGCGCGCACGCCTGACAGCGCTATTGATGCGCGCAATGAACAAAGATCCTAATTATAAGTCCGAGCAATAAAGCTGAGAGATCGGAGAATCACTGGCGGATTACGCGCGCGTCGGGCGCGTTGCTGCTGCTGCTGCTGCTGCTGCTGCTATTATTATTATTATTATTATTATTCTTCATTATTTTCTCACACAGGGCGCTCCGAGACGCCCTGACGGGATTCGACATATTGATCGGCCGGCCGGATCGACCGTGAACATTTACGTAAACAGCCCGGGTAGGAAAGTTTCTTTTAATATGCGTGTCCAGCACTAGTTGGCACGAGACGGCCAAACGTCTGGCCGAAGTTTGTTGTACGACACGGGGCTTAGCGGAATTTCAAAGGCACACGTCCGCGCGACTCGAGCTCCTCTCTCTCGCCGTATCGATTGTTCCGTGAATCTCTCGCGCGCGCTGTAATTCGCGAGCGCACGCGTCTCCTCCTCCGCTCGGTGTCTCTCGCGAAATCGCTCGTGATGCTGCAGCAGCAGCAGAGAAAGAGAGAGAGAGAGACAGAGAGAGAGAGAGAGAGAGAGAGAGAAAGAGAGAGAGAGAGAGAGAGAGAGAGAGACAGAGAGAGAGAGAGAGAGAGAGAGAGAGAGAGAGAGAGAGAGAGAGAGAGAGAGAGAGAGAGAGAGAGAGAGGGAGAGAGAGAGAGAGCAGGAGGCTCCCTCTCCTCGGCAGGGGATATACTTACGTTCGGGTCGTTCTTCAGCTTCACCACGCACATCTGCAATGCAAGCGAAAACGGCGACGATTAATAATCGAACGGGTGCGAACAGACGCCGTACCGGGGCGTCTCGCAGTTTCGCCGCCGAGCGGTGCCGTAATGCGGAATCGCGTCCGATAGAGAGAGAGAGAGAGAGAGAGAGAGAGAGAGAGAAAAAGAGAGGATGGGCTGAATAATTCAGCGACATCCGCGCGAGGACCAACCCGCGACGCGTGTCTGACCGAGCGGGGTGCGCGCGCGCGCGCGCGCGCGAGCGAGCGTCGCCATATCGCGTCCTGCCAGGCCCGCTAATAACTGTCGTTAATTGATGAAGACGCGCGTTCGAATGTTTCGCGCGTCTCGCCGACTTCGCCGCAAATTCGCGCTTTCCACGGCAATCGCGGCGACACGGCGGAACGGGACTTGTGTATTCAGCGCACTGACGCGGCGGATATCACTCGCGGTTAATTGCGTCTGATATTAATTGCGCCGGAACGTCACGACGCGGAAAGGCGCGACTTTCGAGAGGAAGTTCCGCCGCAAACGGCGGAAAAGCAGCTCGCTATCAATTCGGCTCTCGCGTCGTGCGCGCGCGCGCGCGGAAAATAGCCGTGTGACTTGCTCTTCTTTCTTTCTCCTTTTCTTCCTTTCTTTCTTTTTTTTTTCTTTTTTGAGTACGACACGACTCGACTCGGCAGCCGACACGGGCAATTTGTCAATGCTGTGAGCGAGCCGAACGAGTCTCGTCTCGTTCTCCTCGGCGAATAAAGAATTAATCAAAGACCGGGCGAGGTAGTCGACATGCGCGCAAAAGTAGGAGAGAACGACCTCGTCAACATTTTCGCAGTAAAAGTAAACCAAGCGCGACTCGGCGACTCGGGAAGCTCCCCGGTCGCGAGTATCGACTAGGCACCTGTCCCTCACCGACGAAATGCGCGAACTTTGATTACATAAATCGCGCTCAGCGATTACGAAACCGCGACATTGTTTCCCCCTCGATGCGTCCCGAAGCCCCTGCGACAATTTTGTGACGATTGCGATTTCTGTGGAAGAAAAACGTACAAATAACGGGAGACTCGGGAGAGGGAAGGGGGGGCGGAGAGTCGACGCGTCGTTTATCGATACTCATTTCGTCCCAATTCTTCCGGTGGAAACAGCCGTCTGTAGCCCGAAGGCGATAAATGCACTTGCATTTATCGCATCGTCGAGAAACTTCGCCGCGACCTCGTGGGAAAGGATTAAAAGCGTTCCGGGTAATTCAGAAAGTATCGATTGTCCGTCGAGGACGTCGTTGGCGAATTTGAGACGGCCGTTTAATTGAATGCGCAAACTTCGGGGCGCTCTGTCCCGCTTAATAAGCGCGATTAATAAGAGTTAATTTTCAGAAATGTTCAGCCCGCCGCTGAAACAGCGCCGGCGACATTGTGGTCGCCGGTGCGCTTATAAGCATGTCGGGTGTCGTCTTTGCGTGAGACTCACTTTGCGTGAGACGACTCTGCCGGGTAATATATCAATAAGAATGATAACGACAATACCGACAATAAGAGAAAGTTGCAAGGAAAGAAAAAGTTGCAACTGCAAAATGCAACGTCTGGAAATTGCTAGGATCTGGCTGGGAATCTCCTTTGTTCGAAAACGTAAGCTTATTTAAGCGTGCATATAGTTCTCTTAAGGAACTGCGGGACTTCTCTTTCGAAGAGATTTTGAAAGACAAGCGCGAGCAGTACCATTTACCTATTGGTATCGTTTCTAAAAATGTCGAAATGAAGAAAAGGCAAGGGAACCAACGTTCGCTTTTTCTTTGTTACCTGCTTTTGTTACGGATATGTTATAACTATAAAACCTTTGCGCTGAAAAAGTTTTCGGACATGCGAACATCATTAATCTTATTTAAGAAATGTATGAGAAATGACCGAAATTTCCCGAAATGAGAAAAACATCACAAACAGTCAGTGGACAACGTTAACGGACTGTTCCCGTTAGCTATGCACGTGGTTTCTACAATGATGCAAGATTTTCTTTATACGGCAGGCGGGAGAGAAACACGAGGACGAGGAGAAAAACCGAAGTTTATTTTCCAAAAGTCACGGGAATATATGCAGAGTAACGAACAATTAGCAACTTGACCTTCACCCCTCTCGTCATCCGCGCAACTTTCGTCGACTTGCTTTCCCGTCGTGCTTTTTGTGCTTCGAAATGCCAGGAAGTAAAAGTTCTTATATTTCTTACGTACGTGTCCTAAAATCTCTCTCAAACGAAGGTCTCACCTTCGTTCAGCAGACGCAACGTCTAAGTCTGCGACAAAAGGGTGACAATTAGCAAACCGATCTCGGTCGCTTCTCCGTACTCCGGTACAGAAACACAAGAGACGTGAGACTTTCGGCGTCGCTTTTGTCAGATAAGCGGAGCGATCAACAAGTTTTCGGTGGCGAGTCTCGCCGTCGGCGATTTAATACGCTCGCAAAACTCGAACTGCTAACTCGATTCTCGACGTAGCGCGACGAATATCTAGAATTTCTAGAACGCCAAACGATTCCAAACGAACGAAAGCTACGCGCACGAGAAAGAAAGAGACGGACAGAGGGAGAGTGTGAGTGAGAAAGAGAGATAGAGAGAGAGAGAGTTTGATAAGCGACAATGGGGAGGAGGGAGAGCGACAGCGAACGGGTGAGTGAGCAAGCGAGAACGAGCGAGGAGGGGGGGGGAGAAAGAGAGAAGGACGAATGTAAATTGAAAGAAAGAAAGAAAGAAAGGAAGGGCTACAAGGACGCGCTCAATCGGAAATGAAACTTTCATCTCGCTTTCCGCGTCGATTTTCGTACGGCACTTCTCGCATCGTCACGTAACACCCGGGAGTGTTATACTATCGCGAGCGCGAGCGGACGATCGCGGGCGCGCTTAAATTATCCGCAGAAGACGCTAGCGGATCTATCGTTCGAGTTGTCTCGAGCGATCGATCTATCGCAGCGGTCGCAGCCTCGGACGGCTAGACGGACGGACGGGGGCCGGCCCTACGCGGAAGACCGAGAAAGAGAGAAAGAGAGAAAGAGAGAGAGAGAGAGAGAGAGAGAGAGAGAGAGAGAGAGAGAGAGAGAGAGAATAAAAAGTTGGCGATGAAAGAAACGACGGGCGAAGTTTGACGACGACTCGCGACAATGTAACCGCGCGTTCTTTACGCGACTCTTTACTCGTCCCTTAACCCCACATCAGGGCCCGTCTCGATCGCTATCGACACACGCGTGCATACACACACACACACACACACACACATACATACACACATAGCATTGCGCTCTCGCTCCCTCTTTCTCTTTCTCACCTGATGCTCCCATATCGCTTTTCTCAGTTTGTTTTGCATGGAGTTCACTTCCTCCTGCATAGCTTTCGGGATCTCCATCCTTCCGCGGCAGGTGGTTCGCCCACGACCTGGTCCTCAAGAATCGCCAACAGCAACTGTGGCGACGGCGGCGGCGGTGGCGGCGGCAACCTCTCGCCTGTGTGTATCTCCGATACGTCAGGCGGGAGCGAACGAGGACGCGACACAACGGCGGCGAGAGAGTTCGCACGCTGCTAGTCCGTTCGTGAATCAACTCCGGCGCGACGCGTTACGCGAGCGGCGACGACGGTGGCGGCGACGCGTCCTGATTGTCCGCTCGCGAGTTGCTTCGCGTCCGTCGAAAGTTGGGCCGCTCGCGCACGTCGGTCCGCTTCGAACTTCGGCCGCTTCGTCTCTGCGAGCTGAGCGACGATGCGCTTCGCTTCGAACGCGCCACGAGTATCGCCCTCTCTCTCGCTCTTTATCCCTACCTTCCCTCACCCCACTCGCGTCTGCTGCCGTCGTTACTTTCTCTGTCTCTTTCTGTCGCGCGCGCACGACTCGCCCAAGTACGAATCACAGAGCACCGAAGAAGCAGACTGGTCTCATGCGGCGCACGCACTGCGCGTACGCAAACGCACCTTACGTACGCACGGCTCTTTTGCACTTCCCGCTTGCGGACTACGCGCTTTGTAATCTGATTCGCACACCGGAATAAATCTCTCGTCCGCTCTCGTTGTCGCCGTCGTCGCCGTCGTCGCTGTCGTCGCCGTCGTCGCCGTCGTCGTCGTCGTCGTCGTCGTCGTCGTCGTCGTCGTCGTTGTCGTCGTCGTCGTCGTCGTCGTCGTCGTCGTCGTCGTTGTCGTCGTCGTCGTCGTCGTCGTCGTCGTCGTCGTCGTCGGCGGCGGCGGCGCGAGCGTCTATGTTACCGTCGTCGGCGCGTTGCGCTGACCCTCGGGCTCGAGTGCGCACAGCCGCGCCAAGCTGATCGCGCGCACTCGTCTTCCTTCCCCCCTTTGCTCCGCGCTGCTCCTTGCTTCGCGCTGCAAACCGGCGCCCTTCGGCGACGGCGAGAGCTCGCGGAGATGGCGGGATTTCGCGCCAAGCGTAGTACGCGAGATTCGGTTCGATTCGATTCGGTTCACCTCGCGCCTCAACGAAGATCCCGCGATCTTTCTCCCTCCCGCCGTGCCAACAAACTTACGGGCGCGTATTATCCGGCCTTCCCTTGCCGACACGTAACGGGGGAGAGTTTCTCCCCTAGATGGATTTCTGACGACAAGAAATGTCGGCAGCACTGGCAAACGGCAGCGCCGCGGTTCTTTAAGGCGAGAAACTTGTCCCACGGAATGATAGTCGAAGGAGAATCATAGATCTGTTCTTTTCTAGATGCACTTTGTGTCGCACTGTCTGCACTCCGGCGATATGGTCTGAAATGGCGATATACCGAGGCTGTGAGGGAGAGAAAGAGGGAAAGTGCGGTTAGTGCAGCTGAAAACGGACTTTACGCGATGCTGTCGTCGTGTCAGCTGTGTGAGAGCAGATTACCCTTTAAACTTTTATTGTTAAAGGGAAAAGTGAAAGAGAGAAAAAGAGAGAGAGAGAGAGAGAGAGAAAGAGAGAGAAGGAGAGAAGTTCTATTTAATTATGTCAGGAGAGGTTGGATCGGCAAGACCGCTTGAGTGACTTGAAAATATTGATGAAGACGTAAAAGGCTTTAAAGGAAACACAAAATTGATGGTGTTTACACAATTGATAATCTTCCAGAGTTATATTAAATTATGTAGTATTTCGATAGTTTTGGCGGGCTTTCCTTTTAGTCTACAAAGTATCGGCGATAATGATAGATAAAATATGTTTATGTGACGGTCAGGAAGAGACGTACTTGAAATACGTGTCCTTTTTATGACCGAGGTCGACTTATCGGAAATTATACATCGTGTTGATACCATCAGAGTGATGACACGTCCAAATGCCACTCAACCATACGGATACGTCGACGTTTTATGATAATTTTCGGCCAGTTGCTTTAGTGAATTTACCTCATTAGTTGAATAGTGATTGTTATTGCTGAAAATTCTCATCTTGTATTACTTATTTTGGAAGATAGAAATAATCTCAGTTAAATATTTCATAGAGGATACATTTAAATTGTGCAAACATGTTGAAGGCAGTTATCTTAATTGGAGGACCATTGAAAGGTTTGTGTCTCTATTGCTTTACAATTAAATCAGTTGAAATAGTAAGAGTTGCAGGATTATTATAGATATAATATTGGTTGCTAAATAAACTGTATATTCAATTAGAACTTTATACTATGAAGATTCTCTTGAATTTATATTTTGAATGTTTTTACCTTGAATGTTTTTTCTGCAGGAACAAGGTTTAGGCCTCTTTCTCTGGACATCCCAAAACCACTGTTCCCAGTGGCTGGGTTACCCATGATACAACATCACATTGAGGCATATACCAAAGTGCCTGGTCTCAATGAAGTATTGATAATCGGCGCTTATCCCAAGAACGATTTATCTCAGTTTGTACAACAGATGTCGAGTACCTATGGCATAGTTATTAGATACCTGCAGGAATTTACTCCGCTTGGAACAGCAGGAGGCATGTATCACTTTCGTGATCAGATACGTTCGGGCAGTCCATCATGCTTTTTTATAATGAATGGGGATGTCTGTGCTGACTTTCCTCTATTGGAAATGGTGGAATTTCATAAGGACAAGCAGGCCCTGCTCACAATCATGGCTACAGAAGCAACTCGTCAGCAGTCCTTGAATTACGGATGTATGGTTTTGGGCAAAGAAGGAGAAGTGGCGCATTATGTCGAAAAACCTTCCACATTTGTATCAGCCCTTATCAACTGTGGAGTATATCTAGCCTCCCTAGAAATCTTCCAAACAATGGCGGATGTCTTTCATGCTAATCAGCAGCAAGATCTTATAATGTAAGCTTCTTTTAGATCTGTTTTCACACACAAACATGGAGTAGAACCATGACTCTTACTTTCCATTTTGTGTACAGGCAGTCGTATGGCAATGGCAGAGATCCAGCGCACATTGCGTTCGAGCAGGACATACTGACACGTTTGGCAGGAAGCGGTCGATTGTTTGCTCTGCCTGTGCTCAGATGGTGGTCGCAGGTGAAAACCGCAGGATCTGCGATATATGCCAATCGACACTATTTGGCACTCTACAAGCAGAAACAGCCAAACCATTTGGCTTCGATGAGCAAAGATTCTTGTAACATCATAGGAGATGTATATATTCATCCATCAGCCACTGTACATCCAACTTCCACGGTAAGGATAAATTGTCCTAGAATGCGATACTTCACGAATTTTAACGAACTCACATATTTATATAAAATTCCTTCCTCTTACAGCTAGGTCCCAATGTTAGTATAGGTCCAAATACAATTATTGAGCCTGGTGTGAGAATCAGAGAATCGATTGTATTGGCCAACACACACATACAGGCTCATTCTCTCATCTTATATAGCATCATAGGAACAGGTACCAGTGTGGGTGAATGGGCACGAGTCGAGGGGACTCCTTGTGATCCAAATCCTAACAAGCCGTTTGCGAAAATGGAGAACTTACCATTGTTTAATGTCAACGGCAAACTCAATCCTTCCATCACGATACTTGGTAATGAAACGGGTCCTCTTACAAATATATTTTTTAATATTGACTCGCGAGTTTTTAATCGTTCATGTTGCTTCAGGCACCAGCGTGAGCTTGGCCGCGGAGAAAATTCTGCTGAACTCGATCGTTTTGCCGCATAAGGAACTGACGAGAAACTATAAAAACGAAATTATTCTCTAGCTGTCTATGTGCAATTATTGGAACATATGAACGATATGGGTGTAGTAAGAGTGGATTCGCACAAATATGATCAATCACTAAGTATATATGCAATATAATTTTAGATTTTTACATTGATTTGTTACAACGTATATTTGATAATTTTGTAATATATAAAGTCGACATTTTTACATCGTGTGCATCATGTTGCAACCAAAAATTATGTACATAAGAACAAGGGTGCAGCATAACTTCTCTAGGGTATTGAGAATTGTATATATGCCACGTTTGTATACGTATGTACACCGTGGTTGCTAGCACGCAATCTACATGTGTGTGTGTGTGTGTGTGTGTGTGTGTCTGAAAGCATACCATCGCTGATATTTTCATAAGTATATGAATAAACCTTTTCATTTATTGGCTAACTGTTATATTCGTCATTCAAGAGGCGCATGTCGCTTGTGTGTATCGAGGAACGCCGCGTGCGATCGTGCGATAAGTAGAGGAAGAAGCCCCGAACTCGCATTAACGCTCGCATATCGCGGCGATCGGTACGCGGGAGGAAGAATAACCGAAAAAAATCTTCCTGAGCGTTCGGGCCGCCTAAGGTGAGGCTCGCTCTCGCGTTCCTCACCGGCGGCGCCAGGTGTATGCAGTCGCGATGCGTGCGTACGTGCGTGCGAGTGAGCGAGCGAGCGAACGACCGACCGACTGTACGGATCCTGGAGAAAGGAGAGAGAAAGAGAGAGAGAGAGAGAGAGAGAGAGAGAGAAAGAGAGAGAGAGAGAGAGAGAGAGGGCGAGCGAGCGAGCGAGGCGTGCGCGTAAAATAGCCGCATTGAATTGCACTGAATCAACAGGTAGATCAGCGGCGGGGTCGGTATGCGTGGGATGTTGTACGCGCGATCTCTCGTAGAAGCGGGATTCGCCGCCGCTGGTCGCCACGAAAAATGCAGCGTTCGCGACGCGCGAGCACGCACGACGACGACGACGACGACGACGAGACGCCACAGCCGCAGCTGCTTCGGGAACGAGGTGCATTAGAGGACGACGTCGACGGCAACAGCGTGCGGGCGACGATCGGGGACAGGAGGGAGCGACGTTCCGTGTGGAAACGCGCGTTCTTCTCTAAACGCGCGTGTGCTTCGTGAACGCGCACAGGCGGATTCCGCGCATACCAACGCCGCTGATCCCCGGCTTCCCCGCGAGCAGTTGACGGCGGCGGCGGTGGCGGCGGCAGCGGCGACGGCGGCGGCAGCGGCGACGGCGGCGGCGGCGGCGGCGGCTGCGACGGCGGCGGCGGCAGCGCAGTGCGGCGCGGCACGGCGGCGGTTGCGGTAGCGTCCGGATCGGGAGAGTGATTTTTGTGATCGCTGCTCTCGTCAATGACACGCGCGGAATGCGCTGAGCGAGCGCGCGATCCCACGCTACGCTATACGCGCCGACATTGTTACGCGTATACGTGCTACGCCTCGCGCAGCGCTGCGCTGGCCTTTAAAAAAACCGAAGTGCCGAAGGATTCGCCCGGACGGGCGTGCGTGAGGTGCTGCGACGGCGCGTTTTGAATGTGGCGCAGGGCAAACGGCGGGCCTCGTGAGGAGCAACGTTAGTTTCGTCACCCCCGCGTATAACGGATAATCGAATCTGTGTTTGTGACTCGGAAGCCTGTTGCTTCGCCAAGTTTTCGCTGTTATCCTCGAGCAGACCTCTCTTTCACCGGGAAAAAGCGTAGTTCTCGATTCTGTGTACTTAAAATTGTCAGGATACGTTCACTTTTAACGGCATTTTAGAGAGAAAGAGCGTATAATTTTTGTTTCGCCGAGTATAAAGTAAGAAATTCTGAAAATGATCGAATAACGCGTAAACGCGTATAAATCGCATTGCTCATTTAATCTCTATCACGGAAATCGACAATTTCATCGGGAGGAAAACAATTTTATACGCGTGAAAGATCAAGAAAATGTAATTTTTACCTTTCGACGTATTTTTTATCGGGTAACAGCGATCTGATCGAGAACATAATATTTTGTTTACAGGAGGGCTGAAGGGTGCATTGGTACAAGTGAAATAAAAAAGACTGCCAGACATTCCAAATGGGTGATAAAAGCCCATTATGGCCCAGTGTCATCAGTCGCAACATCAGCACGAATTTCTGCCTCTGTGCGATGTACTGTTCAACATTATCTCATTAGCGTCATACTTCTGCGATGTTGTGTTCGATTTCGCGATGGTCTACGCCCTTGCCCATCAAGCAATAGCACCGCCCGTATTGTTTCCACTCAGCATCACTCTCATAGCCACTTCTCTGCTGATTTCTCAAGTTAGTATTCGAGTAAACGAATCAATCGGTCCACCACCAGGTCGTCTTTCTGTCACTGATTATGTTATCAATCTGATTATGTTATCTTTCTGTCACACATTTGTAGATCATTAGTTTAAGATGGTATCTCTGGGGAGCTAGAGGCAAATTGACAAACAACAACGTGCCGGACGAGTGCGATGCGAGTCCAGTTAAGAAAACAGGCAACTGGATGGTAGGCTGTGTTCTGCTGCTCCATTCTACCCAAGTCGGTGTACTATGGAGATACTTCAAGTTATTTATCCCAGTAAACTTAACTTATGTAAAGCACGAGGTGTGTATCAGTGTTGTCTCTCTCGTCTCTCATCAATCCAATCTCTCTCGTCTCATACGAGTCTCATCGCTCACTTCAGGTACGGGAGCTCTGCGTATTACGACTGATACACGCGTTCTGTGAGGCCGCACCGATGCTACTTCTGCAGCTGTATCTCCTGTCCATCGGCGTCACCGATGACGGTGAGACAGAAGCCGGGAAACCAAAGGATAGCGACGGCAAAGACAGCAGTAAATTAGCCAAGCTGACCGCGGTGTCGGCGGGACTCTCCTTGTGGAGCGTGTGTTGGGCAGTGGCTAGTTTCAGTAAGGGTGCCGCGCGTCTGCGAAACCTAGAACGCTTAGTGCTGACATGGTTGGGAGTGCTGGCGCAGTTAGCCTGGCGTCTGGGGACAGTGAGTGCTCGTGTCGGAGCGTTGGTCGTGTACGCTTCGCTGTATGGCGGACAGTGGCTGCTGATCGTCATGGCCCTGCACTGGCTGTCCATGCTGACATGGTTGCTGCTGACTCCAGACGGGCTCTTTCACGGTGGCGAGCGTCTTCCTCTGATCAGGAAGACATTCCTCGCTTCCTTGCTCGCTTTTGTATATATATTCGCGTATGTTAATCTACACGAGACGAATCATCGTCAGAAAATGGTTAGTAAATATGACCAACACCGACGGTATGAGCATTCTTCTCTGTAGATGCTGATCGGGTGATGCTTCTACAGGTAATATTTTACACCGTGATGTTTCTGGAGAATAGTCTGCTCATCGGGGTATGGGTGGCGGGTGTTAATCGTACTGATCTGATGCCTCATCAGCATCATCCACATCCGGTTACTCTGGTGCTTATTCTCCTGGCTCTATTCTTTGGTGGTATGTTCTTCATGGGTCTTTACTACAGGTAAGTTTAATGTTTTATTTCGCCTTACTTTATGAATCTCAAAGTTACGCTGTACATTTTTACTTCCTGCGACAGATTTTTTCACGTGAGAAGACTGAGGTACGAAGCTGGTGGAAGGATGACTGGTTCGAATCTTACGACATTATCAAATCAGGTACAACACGAGACAGACTTCTCTTTCCGAACGTTTAAATTCCATCCTGTTGAGACTTACAGTTTTCCGGTAATGCGACTCATTTTGTCAGGTCAGGAAAGCTTTTATTATCTTGATGAAAATTTACCAAACCTCACCACTGTGTTTGATCATGCTACCAAAGAATATTCACATATTTTGTCGTTGAATCATATTGATTGAAAGTAAAAGGTCATTTCATTTGTTTCTGAATCTTATTTGAAAATAAAAGATGGTCTGACCTACTTTGGGACGCATTACTCGAGAATAAAGAGTTCGTCTGACTTATCGTTGAGTCTTGCTACGACGATTCTTCGTTAAGTACAGTGGCGGCTCGTAGCGGAGATTTTGGAACTAATAATAATGACAACGGGTCCGATCGAATTGCAAATAACGGGTCTATTCCGGCTATTCCAGTTAACAGGTCTAACTCTTTTAAATAACCCGTCACTTTTAATTAGTTCTGTGGCCTCCGTTACGAGTCTCCACTGTTTTTAACCATTAATCGAAGTTTGTAGTACAACTCAACGATAAGTGAAGCAAACTTTTCACTTTTGAGTAGTAATTGTAACAGCAGTTGTAAAAAGTAAGAAAACTTTTTGAACGATATTTCTTAATAGCACATTTGAATAATATTACTTAATGGCAAATCGAAAGGATTTTATTTTCAAATAATACGTTTCCCGTTTGTCTCTCAAATGCAGATTTGCCTCAGCAATCATTGAGTGTTATTGATAATAATTCAATTGATGTTAATTATTATAAGATTCATTACTTTCGACGATATGATTGTCGCCCTTGTCTCTCGCAAAGGCGCAGTTACAAACATAAATTTCTCTTGCAGGATAATTCGGAAGAAAAACAGATAGATTATAATGAGGAGAAAAAGGTCAATATTAGCATCGGCATGAGGAAAGTCAAGTTGAGCAATGGTGGTATACCGGGCGTGTTCAACTGCCGTTTCGCGAATCCAACGGCCGTAAATCCGAATCGCAAGAAGAAGAAGCCGACGACGTTCGTGCCCCCGCCGCCGCCGCAGTCGCAATCGGGCACGGTGATGAGTTCCGTTACAACGGTAGGAGATTCGAAGCAATGGCTCAACGTCGGTAATGGCTCGCGGCAATTGATTCCATTCTGGAAGAAGCCCATATCCTCTTCCAATGTAGCACAGGTGAGTGACCGACAAGTTTACTGCTAATCGCGACTGACAGCAACAATATGCAGAGAAATATCATTTTAAATCCGATGCTTATCGGTGATTGCTTGCAATATATCAACTCATGAGATACTTGAGACAAGAGTAACCATTAACTCGAATAATGCAGCGTGTATTTTTCTATATATAATTACAATGTTGCGTGTTTCTACCACACAGAACGATAACTCCAACGAGCGAAAGGATGAGGCCGACATGGCGGTCGGAGGCTCGTTGAACGTCACGTTAATACGGGAAAAATTAAAAGAAAAGAAACAGCAGCAGCTGCGCGAATTACGGGCCATCCAGGAAGAAATCAAGGAAGGTAAATTATTCCCACCTCCATCCGCTAACACATCCTCCTTCTCGACCTCACCCTCCGCCTCTAATCAGCAACCACCGCCAAATACAAAGTTGCATACATCCCCGAATTCACCGTTATTCACGTCCCCGCCATCCTTCGAGCAAAACGGTGGTGGCATCTTATCGTCCTGGCCACCCGTGAAAATGCACTGTCTCCTACCCCCTCCACCGTCCTCCCCATATTACCATAATCCGCATCCCTCGAACCCTTGGAGGGCGGCTCCACAGAGAGAGCGAGCGGACACGCCGGAGATATTACTGGCGCCGCGATGCCTTCCGCATCATTATTCTCACTGGTCTCCGCCCGGACATCTTAGTCACAGGTATGTTTTGTAAAAAATTCCTTTAATCCTCCTCTTTTCGACCCAAGCAGCTTGTTGATTAACGAGAGCTTTGTACGATCAGGCTGCACACAAATCAAAACGGCGCCGACGAGAGCTCCAAGGGCGAGGGCGAGGGAGAAGCGGAAATTAGCGACATGGAAGGTAGTCAGGTGTCGTTACCTAGGAGTTACACGCTTCCCCGGGAGTTCAAGTATAATCATCCGAATAATGCCGCGAGAGAACGAGAACGTCGCATTGGAAATAACAAGGTGCCGCCGTCGCGCTTCTATTTACCGTCTACCAATAGTTCCGATGGTACGTACAGCAATCTAATCTGCTGCAATAGAGCCGATATCTGCTCCGTAAATATTTGATAGGCGCGAGCAGATGAACTAATCGGACGTGAACCATCCGATTGTATCGTTTCTGACGCTGATGATAATGTTTATAGGCGACGTGGACAGCGCTGATAACGAGGACGAAACGGACTCTGAAGCGCAAATTCGAATGAAGATCAATCACGGGCACAACCATGACGAAGCCGTGCAAAGACGTCATGTGTACGAGAACAACGAGGAGAACAACACCGCCGGCTGCAATACGCAGTGCGGCACGTCCAATGTCATGACCAACAATTGTTATCCAAATAATTCGCACGGTGCCTTACGACCGAATCAGTTATTTAGAACCCGAGTGAAGCACGAAACGAAACTCTGAGCTGCGTCGTAATTCGCAGCTAAGTGGATCTTTCCGACGCTACACTCGTATTCGGTGCCTCACACGGGACTTTCCTTCAGGAACTAATCCGTCCGCTCGAATTTTAACGGCACGTAGCCGTTGACGTTGCAAAATAAGTATACTTAACATGGTGTACTTTTAATCGTATTATATATAATACGCCGACATATATTGGCATATATATTTTTCCTTCCTTTGCAAGAGATCACAATGCGTGTTACTCTTGCAATACGTTAGAATTTCGTTTCGTAAAATTTCATCATGGCATATTCCGCATGTGGGACTGTGAAAACGCGGAATCACGATGAATAGAATGTCTTTAGCTGCATCTTAAGGAAGGACAGATAGATAGAGTGGACAAATCAAGTGTCTTAATTAAAATTATATAATGTCGCGAATATTTTATACATAAAGTTACCTGAATATACCAGAAACCGAGAATCGCGTACACTCCATCACTCGTACTCACAAATGACATGCGTAATAGATAAATTAGTAATAATAACTAATTTAAGGTATTTTATGCTATTTAAAGAGATATATTCATATTTTGTTATACGTTTGTAAATATACAATCTTACAGATGATTCCTCTTCTATTGTTTTGTTGCATCTTCCTCGTAGATCTTTGAGAAACGATAGACGTGGAAAAGCATCGAGAAAAATGTCCAAGTGAAGTAGAAGTAACAAAGCTTGGACATATCTTCGACCATGGAAACTTCTTGCTTTCGCTTTAGCCTTTAAATTATGATAATCAAAATTTCGGTATAGAATAAAAAGTTTGTTTGCGTCTTGTATTTTAGTTACAGTATTCAAACGCACATTGTACAATAATCATTTATCAGTATCTAAATGCACTTGTTGTAAACTTTCAGAATCCTTTTAATGTTTCTCGAGAAACATTTTTGTGTAAATAGATTTTATATTACAAGGAGATTATATATTTCAAAATTCAAAATTATTTAGTTGTATATGATAAATTGAATTTCCATTATTTACATGTAATAGAAACATCCATGCGGAGAAAGTGCAGTACAAAAGTACGATTATATAACTTATACAAATATGTATGTATAATGTGTGTTTGTGTGTGTGTGTGTATGTATATAATTGTTTGTGTGATGTCATGTTCTCTTGGCTATTTATGCATATATTATAGAAATCATCAAGAAATCATTCGGCATCGAAGTGTCGCAAGACATTTTCTTTCTTTCGAAATTTGTAGGCGTGTTTCGCACGGTGTTGACCTGTCACATCGACCTATTTCTTTCATTCTTCTTATATTCTCGTTTTACTTTTCTACGCAGTTTTAAAATAATTGATTCTTGGTTTGTCCCCTGAGGAATAACTGTCCTGTCGAGATAATATTTATTAATGGCATCAGATAAGCCATGAGATATTGTTTCTAAGGTGTAACTGATATCCACTCAGAAACGTAGTGATAACCGTAATATTATCAAATATTGTCAGTTCTGACTTTTTACGTAAGATCGCACGTTCACTCTGTCTATAAATTCGTGGCGGCACGTAAAATACTTTAGTATAACTGGTTTCTTCGAAACGGTTGTAAGAAGACTTTCTCGTGCGCGAAACTGAACATTTTGGTACGAAAATTATTTAATCGTTGGTATACCATCGCGCTATTAATTATATTGAAAGATTAATATTTTATATTAAGAGAAAATAATTATTACTTATCGTTTGAAAGACCTCTAAGGAAAAATAAATGTCATAAAGTGTCAGTTCTGGCAAACTGACTTGAAACATTTCGAAAGAGAAACTTAAAAATTGAGTTCAATGGATCTTGATGGTATATTGATGGTTAACAATTATAACGTTTATATTGGAAACAACTACTGTTCTTTTCTCGATAATTCTGTATCAATTGTCAATCATGTCTAATCGTGCCGCTAATCATATGTTTTATTTGATTCGTATCGTACATATGGACCATGGCAAATAGGATAACGAGTAGTAAACAAATCAGTCAATCATAGTTGAGAACGTAAACAATCACCGCTTATGTTCCACCACTAAGATTATTTGATTTGCGTTCTGCCTACGTTTTTCTATGTGCCATCAGCTTATGTTGTTGTGAACATTACTGGTGCTACGCCGTCATATTAATTAATCTTATTTGTTAACGTTGCAGCACACCATTCCGATAAAATGGACAAGCGTCTAGCGTTTGCGTTAATTGCCTTGCTTGTTGTCAACGTTATATCGGCAGGCCCTAACTCTGACCAGTGTAGTCCACTTCGCGGGCCAGTAAGTGAAACCAAAAATAAAAATGATACGTTCGCGCACTAATATAAAACAATGAAAATAAAAATTGCGCGCGCTTGCGATTAAATCTCGGATTATTTACGACTGCTTAGGAAACTTATTTACGATTGCAGTGTAATATTAGCGAAGAATGCTGTCCAGGCTTGGTATGCTTGTTTTACGCGCACAGATGCGTATCGGCTCGTATAAATCAGGATAATCGACTAGAACCGACTAAGCAACTGAGGTTGTAACGAACGGAACGCCTTCTTCCAAAAAGAACGACCTCAAGGATGACGCTTTGAAGACACGCAAGATGCAGTACGAGGGATATATATCGTGCGATGTCTTACCGTCTACGTTCTAGTGGCAGATTCAACTTTAACATTGAAGGTTCTGATCTAATCTATATACTAAGATCTTCGAACAGATGACTTATTAAAGATTAAATTTGTTGTAACAACTGGATCGTGTACTCGTCATCACTGTTCCGACATCCAGGTTCCTTGCTGAAACTGGTTTTCAGATATCCTTCTTCCTATGAAAATATCATATTTTCCAAAGCACTTCTAGTCGCAATGTATGCAACGCAATCAATGTAACGCGATCCAGTATAGGCGAGCATAATGTGACACACGTTACATTATGCTCGCATTATCCAATTTTGTCTGGTTTTGTCCAGCGCGCACCTTGTCCTCCTAGTGATAAGCCGGATGCGATACAATACCATGTACATACAATTTGCATTAACGCGTCTCTCGGGCCGAGTAAATCCCGATCAGTTGAACCGAATATTCGCCGCATGTCCGAATCACGTTCGACGCGTCGGTGGAAGCGTCTCGTCGCGGATCTGGCACATTCTCCGCAACATCCCGCGAAAGAAGACGACGCGGGATCGGGCCGATGACCCGATCGCGAAGTCCTGTCCGCGGGATGTTTCTGTTCGCGCGGTCGCTCGTCATCGCGTGCATTTTCGTAATGAGCGAAAGACCAAAATTATCGATGAGCGCCGGTGCGCTCGCTCGTCGGTGATAATAGCGTGCCACCGGCATCATCCCTCTCGCGTCCACGACGGGGATATCTTCTCAGCACGGGATGGAAAGAGAGAAAGAGGAAGACAAAAGGAGAGGACCTGGACGAAGAAGAAGAGAGAACGAGTGAAGAGAAGAGAAGAGCAGGGAGCGCGCGAGGCGAGAACGAGGACGACGCGCGTCGTTGGAGGGCGAGGAATAGAAGACGAGCAGCGCTGCTAAGTCGAATGTCGAGTGATGCCAAAGTTAAATATAAATGCGGGCGGCGAGAAGGAGAGAGAGAGAGAGAGAGAGAGAGAGAGAGAGAGAGAGAGAGAAAGAGCGTCGCGACGCCCATCCTGGATCGATGATCCAGCGCCGGGGAGCAGTCTGCCCGTGGTCCGCGTCGCGATCCGGCACAGAGATCGTTTTCTTGTTCTCTCTCTCTCTCTCTCGTTTTCACCACCTTTGATCTCGTCTCGCTCATCCAGCGTCCGCTCGCGCGATCGGTCCTCCACCGCGGTCGCGACGAAAGCAGTGAAGCCCGACGACGACGAGGGCGGTATCGGGCGGGAAAGTGCGACTCTCGGAGTACGGAGACTTGAGGCTGCGCCTTTCCTTCCATCCTTGGACTAGCATCCGGTCCTCGTGCGGACGAGAGCGGTCGACCATCGAGATCGTTCGCGCACGTTGGATCGCACCGAGGCCATTCGGATTTACCGGTAAAGTTCGCGTTAATCGGAGCTACGCTTGCTAAAAGACGCTCGACCTTCATTCGGGGTGTTGGCGGCTTTAGCTAGGCTGATGGGTGTTCCTCTTTCGTGTCCAGTCCGCGGTCGATCTGCTCGCCTTATCTGTAATCGGGGCTTTTCTCAAGCGCGCGCGCGCGCGCGCTGCGTTTTATCATTTGCGTAGACGGCCGTCTCGCTCGCGGTATTACATGCAACGGTTACGGTCTGTTGCGTAATTCATGAAGAATCTCGTTGTAACTGCGGTGTAATTGGACGAGAGATCGCCGTCCTTAGTGGAACTCGTGTATCGTGTATCGCGTTTCGTATCGATCGATTTCATCTCATGATTTGTATGAATTTAATTGGACTGCCAGTGTTATTTACGCGAGCAGCCGGATTCGGGTCACGCGAGTTTGTTTGCGCATCGTCAAGGTGTTAGTCAGCGATATTAGCGGCAAATGAATCAGTAGACCGAGGAATGCAAAGAGCTTGTCGCGTTTGTCAAACCGCAGCGAGAGTGACGTGGTCGCGCGAATCCGGACTAATCTTTGCCGATCAGGAGTCTCCTTATCTTTCGGCACGTCTCGCCCATCTCGAGAGAAGTTCCGCAAACCGCTTAACTTAATTACTCGCTCTTAACTCGATTACCAGCACTCGCGGGAAAGGGACGGGAAACTTTTTGCACGCAATACGCGAGCAAGGACACTTTTAATGAATCGCCCCGAGAGAATTCCCGTTGAAAGTCAAGTGCGACTGGACGAACCACGATTGAGTGATTGCGAAATTCGAATTCTGTGCGTGCGCGGGCGTTACGCGCGGAGCGGAGCTCGCGCTCATACAGCGCGATACGATGATGTCACGTCGCGGATTCGACGGATGAGGGTGAGCTCCAATAATAATTGCCGACCGGCGAGCGATTCTGTCGAAGCGACATCCATTAGGAACGCCGACTATTTCTGATCGTCAATTCGGCAGAGAGATCTTATTTTTGGACGCAGCGTCTCTCTCTCTCTCTCTCTCTCTCTCTCTCTCTCTCTCTCTCTCTCTCTCTTTCTCTTTCTCTCTCTCTCTCCGAGATCCAGGATCCAGCGAGTCGCCAGCGAGTCCGCGGATAATCCCCGTCGGCGGGGCTTTTGGCTCGCGCTAAATTCTCCAGCGTTTTTCCTCGCTCGCGATCGAAATCGCGAGGCTCGCTCTAATATTAGCTCGCGTCTTTCGCGATCGGCGGATCGCCGATCGTTCGGTTAATTCTCTCAGACAGAGCGACGCGTCTCTCGAGATCTCACCTCGTGGGCGCGACGTGCGGACGCTGGGCGATTGTCTCGACGTACCGTTAGCTCGTCGCGCGCATTTCGCGTTGCAAATGTACTTCATATGGCATATCACCGATATATTATGCATGCGCGTACAGCACGAGACTCAAGCGAGTCTCGCAAGCGCAACTTCGTAACGAGAAGCGTGTCTTGACGAATTCTCGGTGGAACGACATAAATTGCGAGCCCGGCTCGCCCCGGGATCGCCGTCGCCTCTCTGCAACGAGAGACGCAACGGACAATGGATGCGTAATGCCTCGTTCGAGTTTGACGTCGAAAGTCCGTCGCCAATTTCGCGCACGCTTTGCACTCGGATTGACGTCGATTACACGCTCGTGGCGCGTAACAAGCTCGATCGCGTCATCGGCTGACGGCTAACGGCTAACCGGTTCGCGGCGAGGAAGCACCTGAAATTCGTCGAGACTTCGATACTCCCGCGATCTCGATCGATACTCGACCGATACTCTCTGCGCGAGGTCGGCGATCTCGACGCGATCCCGATCCCGCGGACGCTTCAGCTGAGCGGAGCCTCAGCGGAGCTGAGGCTCCACGTGCGTGTGCGATCGAACCGGCGCGGCGCGGCGAGCGCGATGGCGATTACAGCTGTTAATATCCGTGTCAGTCTCCGAAATACCCGACGCAGTGATTGCGAATATACCTGCCGGTCCGTTGGACGCGTGTGTATAAACGCCGCGTCGCCGGTCGGAAATAGAAATAGCGCTATATTTAGCCGGCCTACACTCGGTTCATCCGGCTAAAAAGCCAAAGACTTTTCGGTCTACGCGCGCGCGGTCATCCCGGCCGCGCGCGCAGACTTCCTCTGGCGATTTAACGACGAGCGTAAAACCGCCGGCGACCCGGCGAGCACAATGGAACGAGGCGCTTCTCCAGGGAGAAGTATCGTTTACCGCGAATGTGCTCGCGATATCAAACAGATCAAACAGAGGCAATGGCAACACGCTCGGCTGTGCTCGCCGAGCATCGTCCTTACGCTAATCGTCCGACTAGTTAGAAAAAATATTTTTTAAGGTCGCACCGATCGCACGAGACTTTGTCTTTTCGCGAGTCCGTGGCGTGGAAAGCGACGTCAGTGCATCTGAAGTCTCGTCGTCTGGGAGAGACAGCGACCAGATGGGGAAGCTCGCTTGCAGAACGAGGGGATTCCCTCAGAAGCTTTCCGACCGGTCATCCGTTCTCAATCATCCCGAGCGGGTTTCGAGACAGCTCAGTGTTCGAGATTGAATTTCTCTGCGCGAATTTTTCCTCGCGGTCGCAACGCGAGAGTCCGCAATTGATTGCGTGAAATCTCAGGTCTTTCTTAGCCGAAAGCGAGTAGACTGTCGTTTCCAGTCGCTGCCAAGATTATCCAACGGTATCAACGAACTCAACACGCTCGGAATCTTGCGAAACGCCGGACGGGACGGGATTTCCGCGAGATACGAAGCGGTAGTCGAGACGAATGAGCTCATTACCGCGCAGCGCGGCGAAGCGCGGTCGAACGTTCGCAGAGGAGAGTCGTCGCACGCGCGAAGACTCGCGAGGGCAGAAGAAGAAGCGTATCGTCGCGGTCGGTCGTCGGAGAAATTGCCCGCGACTTCCATCGCCGCCGTCGCTGGCGCCGCCTCGCCTCGCCTCGCGTGTCGGCGTTCTCTCTTTGACATTTCGATAATTGCGCGCGGACACCTCCGTGCATGAATGTGCGAAAGTTCACAGGTACGCGCGGACGATCTAGTCACCTATTTCGAGAGACTTTTGGCCACGTGCCAGCCCGAATACCGCCGCTATTATGCGACCCGTGGTTCACTCGTAGCGCCTGCGAGTTCACCGTGAACTCCTGCCCATCCGAGTAAAAATCTCTCGCCTGCACGGCCTGCGAGAGAAAAATCTCTCCTTCCGCGGCGGCGCCGCGGCTGCCGTTGCCGAAATTAATCCCGAGCGAGAATTAATTCTCGAATTAATTCTCGAGCCAAGGTCGAGCGCGAGCTGGCGAAGCCAGCTGGACGATAAGCGCGGCCGCCTGTTGTTCGACTCGCCGCGATGCGATCAAAGCCGCAGCCGAATGAGACTCGCTTTTTGCTTCCAGCGATGCTACTAGCCTGCGACCACGGTGAAAGCAGTTCGAAGTAGCCCGAAATGTCGCAACAACATCCGTCGAGGCCGCCCGGCAGCCACGTGCCGCCGGCTGGCTGGCCAGGACGAGCGAACGCGCCGAGCCCGTTCAGGCCCGCTTCGCCGTACACACCTTCGTCATCACCGCACCCGCAAGGACGAGCCCGCACCGGACCCCCGACCCCGGTCCACCAGGCGCGACCTATGTCACCACTCGCGTATTCCGCTGGGATGATGATGCATCCGATGAGCCCGGTGCCGATCGGGATGCCGATCTCACCCGGGATGTCGCCGGTCTTCGGCTGCCCGACCTCCGCTTACATCCAGTGCCCAAGGCCACGCTGGCCTTCACCGATCCCGACGGTCAGCCAAGCGCCGAGGCCGTTCATACCGACGCAAGTACGCAAGTAATCATATTACATGACGCGGAATGATCCGGCGTCATGTATCGGCGATGTGCGTCGCGTTCGATTACGGAGACTGGGGAATCTCATCGAGAGAGCCGCGTGAAAATGAATGTTAAAAAAGGGCCAAAGGGCCAAAGGGAGGAAATTATATGAAGCCTCTTTGTTTTATCGAATTGAACTTCCGCATTTTCAAGCGAGCCCAAATTAACGAGCGAGATCCCCAGTGAGAGCGTTTTGCTGTCACTGGGGATCTCGCAGCGCGTTGTTGTCAGCGAATAATCTGCCGAAAGGAATTACTCGCTCGATCGACTCGCCGCGCCGGCAAGATCGACTGGCGCCCGAGAGGAATCGATCCCCCCGAGAGGAATTGCACTGAATCGCGATCCTCTTCGCGATCCGCAGAGTTCCTTCAGAAGCGACTCGGCGTCGCCCGTGCCGTGCGCGCCGCCGGAGTACCTGATCGCGCCCTACAGATCCGGGGAATACGAGTACATCGGCGTGCCGTTGGATCATACGCAGTCGGACGAGGAGAGCAGCGGCCCGAGCACCGCCGAGATCATCGCCAGCCAGAGCCAGGATTACGTGGACGAGAAGCTAGCCGAGTACCAAGCCACGATCCAGCAATTGCAAGGTGAGTTTCACGGCGGCACGGAGGTCGGGCCAGGCCGATCCCGTTGCGAGATCGGCTCGTTGGCGCGGTGGAATTGCACAGGTCACGTTATAAAGACCGCCAACGGACTGGCATTACGCCCTCGGCTCCATCCTCGTGTGTACGGAACCCTTAATTACAGTGCCGTTTACCGCGATCCGGATCACGAAGCGCCGTCGCGCACGCAAATTCCGCCCATGGGAGCGCGAGCGGCGAGATCGTACGTATCCACCATCACCCCCCCCCTCCCCCCGCCGGTGCGTGCTGGCTTCCACGTGAGGAAAATCGCGAAATTGCCGTCTCGCCGTTTCCACGGGGATTTCGATTCGACAAGCATCGCGGTCGAGCGAATCGAGCGTCGTGGAGCTTCGTAAAGCCTCCAAGGCGCTCTTTCGAGTCCGCTCTCGCGCTCTGGAAGTGCGCGCTCTTGCGGCCCCGAATTTGTCGCAAAAGGACTCAAGGTCGGCCGCGTCGCCGTCGTCGTTGTGCCCGCTCGTCGATACGCCCACGACGACGCGCATCCGCGGCTCGTAATTCCTTCGCGCGCTTCTTGCGCAACGGGCACCTCTGCCCAGCGGCGGAACAGAGCCGCGTCTCGTGCGCGTACGTCTCTCTTCTCGCATACTCGGCGAATCGAACGGCGGCCGGCGCACGGGGAAAATAGGATAGAATCCGCGGAGACGTGAACGGGTTATAAATAGACATGACGAACACCTGCCGCGCCGTTCGCGCAGTCGTTACATGTTCGCTTTTCCTGTCCGGTGACACCGTCGATCTGTCGATCGCTGGACGTCTCGTCCGACCGAAAGGTAGATTGATCGCTCGGACGCTCGGGCCTCCATTTTCCTGCCGCACGTACGAGATGCCGATTTCGCAAATCATGTCGCAGGATTTGCCCCGTCGCTCTCCTCCTTTGCTGAGTTTGCCGTCGTTTTCTCTTCCGAGGAGATCGAGCGAGCGAGAGAGAGAGAGAGAGAGAGAGAGGAAACACTACTTCTCGTCATCCAAGTGGAAAGGTTTTATCGGAATTGTTTGCTGTCGGCTCTTGAAATTTCAGACAGATGTTTGCGCTTTAAATTAGAGGGAAAGAGAGAAAGACAAACAGACAGACGGGGGGAGAGAGAGAGAGAGAGAGAGAGAGGAGGGAGAAGAGGGGAGAACATGTCCTCCTTCGTGTACGCTTTGTTAATGTCCTCCGCGAGCAAGAAACGTCCCTCACGTAATTAAACCGCGGGAAGGGAGAGAGGGGAGGGCAATTTTTTTATAGACGACAGAACTATGTCAATTGGAATTCGGCTATTAATAGACCGCGGCGGATGGCGGGCAGCGCTCGTTAAAATTCGCGGCGAGTATTCTCGCGAGGAGTGCTTCACGCGTGCTTAATAAATCTCCCGCGGATACACCGCGGCGGAGTGGGTCATGACTCAGGGAGATAAACGCGCGCCGGCCGATTAAATCCAATGCCAGGTGATTCGGTCCCCACAAGTTGACGATCTCGCGCTGGATATCGTCGCGTGACCCATTAAGACGGGATACTCCGTAATCGTGGGCAGCCGCGGATTGCGGCGCGTCTCTCTCGGAGCGGACGCGCGAGGTTGACGCGAGCGGCTCATCAAGAACGAGAGACGTTCGAGAGATTGCCGGCGGGTTGTCAAAGGGGCTGTTAATCAAAGGAAAACGGCGAGGAAAAAGGAGACAGGAAGAGAGAGAGAGAGAGAGAGAGAGAGAGAGAGAAGAAAATCAATCGAGGCGCGCTCGCGCGATCCTCACCGCCATGATGCTTCCACGACTCGATACTCGCGACCTGCACGACGATAAATCAGATCCTGATCGCTCGCGCGGAACCAGTTAGCCTAATGCGCTGCAACCGCCTCGCGGATGAGCGCGATTAATTTCCATATTCAATTGCGCCTGCCATCAAACACTTCGCCTCCACGCAACAACAGCGCTTCGCAACGCTCACATGTTTGGCGTCCGGATCAACGTCTTGGGAGATTTACGGGTTTGTTTGCCGGCTGACTGAGGGAGCATTCTTATCTCATAAGATCTTTAATCCCCTTTATTGAGGCGGTCCTCGCGTCAAACGCTCCAGGACCATCCCAATCCCCCGTCGCCGATGCGCCGACGAGATTCGCCGAGCGGATGATTTATCCCGCTGTATTTCAACTCGAGCTCAAGAAGGATCAGCGAGCAGAGTTATCGGGGATCTGAAGGAGTAACCCTTAATAACGACCGTCGCTTCCTTCATGACGGGAGGGACGCGTTTCAGGGGGACTCCGCTTCCGCTCGGCTTGGGACGCGCGATCGCCGAGGAACAATGAATAACGATCACGATAAATCCGAGGGACCGACGTCGCAGCAGCGCTGCAGCGACGAGAACCGCGCAACTGTGCAATCATCGATTAATCGCGGTCGCGGCGGTCGCGGGAGCACCTCGTGAGAGAGGCGGCAGCTGAAGCGGCGGCACCGACGGCGGATGCGAAGCCGGTCGATTCGCCGCCGACCTGTCTGCCGGCCGGCCGGCTGGCAGGTTGTAGGTGCGACACGGGCCACGCCGAAGGGCCATGTCGGAGAGAGGGACAAGACGACGAGATTGATCGAAGACCGAGGCGCGGAAGGGCCGGCCGGCATGAGAAGTCTCGCTACTCCGCGAGGCACTCCGAGGAGGCACGACCCGAAGAGGTCGTCGGATCTGCCGATTGGGCCAGGCACCATCGATACCGGTGCTGCGCGTCGCCTCGCGCATCGTCGCGGGCGGTGGGAATGGTGGCAGTGCGAGCACTGGAGAACACGTCGGGGGCCTCGACGGGCCGGTAGTATCGAACCGGCGGCCGTCGCGCGCGGCCACCGTATACATTCCATATCCGAGCGTTCCATGTGCGCGCGCTCTCTGTATATACATACATGCAATAGTCTCTCTCTCTCTCTCTCTTTCTCTCTCCCCTTCTCTCTCACATAGACACACACACGACACACACGCGCATTTACACAGTGCCGGCGCGCACGCCGACGCTCCGACGCGAGCTATAGCGTAGGTACGTACTCCGTTGGCGTGGCTGCTGACGGAGGGTGGCTCGGCTCGAGCTGCGTTCCCGAGGGTGCAGCTCGTCGATCCGGTTGATGATCCGGTCAACCGTCGCTCGTCGTCGTCTTCGTCGTCGTCATCGTCGTCATCGTGCGCTCCGGTCGATGGTCACCGGGAGATCGGACAGGTGTCGTCGGCGTGACGTCGTGGTATATATACGCGCGCCTCCGGTGTATGGGGTGTGGTGTCGGCGGGGCAGGTGTCGTGCTTAGGGCGTGAAACCGCAAGCGAGAGGAAAGAGGGAAAGGCAGGACGCGCGGGCAAGACGAGCCGTGTCTTGCGAGGAAGTGCCGGCTGCTGATCCTGGGAATTGGATGACGATGAAGTAGCAACGAGCCACTCCTCGTTGCCATGTCACGGGCAACTCCACCCAGAGGCAGTCCGACCCCGCCGAGGGTGGACAGTCCTGGGGGTGGCAGTCCGAGGACGCCACGTGGTGGTCGGCTGCGGGACCGGGTGAGCTTCTACGAGCAGGTCTGGTCGACCGGGCGTAGCCCGAGCGCCGAGGACCTCCTGGAGGACAGCGATGCGCGCAGGTCGTCCTTCCGCTCGCCGACGCACCGGCGGCCCTCCTCCAGGGCGAGCGACTCCTCGTTCGAGGAGAGTTTCGAGAGACTGGTGGAGGAGGGCGAGTTGAACGGCGCCAAGATGGTGAAGTTCGAGAAGATCACCGTGAGGAAGAGCGTGCGGGAGATCGGCTCGAGCGCGAGCAACGGCGAGCCGCCCGTGCTGATGGTTCAGCAGCGCCCCGTGGGCGTCTTCACGGAGTCCAGCAGGACTCCGAGCGAGGAGCACGCCCTCGAGGACTCGGCTTATCAGAGTCACAGCCACGGGGTACACAGCCACGGCAGCAAGTCCAGCTCGGTCACGTCGTTCACGCGATTCCCCTCGGAGGAGAGCCTGTCGCAGCGCAGATGCAGCAGCCCTCGCCAGCAGCTCGGCCAGCCAGACGACCGGCCACCTTCGGAATGGTACGCGGAGTACCGCAGCCAGAGCTTCCAGAATGTCGCCGCGAGGATGGACTATGTGCGCAGCCGGAGCGAATACGACGCACACATAGCCGAGATCAAAGGTATCTCACCTGCATTGATCACCGGCGTCTACTCCGCCGAGCTTCCGTTCTCGTTTCCTTCGTCGCCGTCGTTCTCCTCCACGTCGTCTCCCGACGCTTCCGCCGCTCGCCGGAAGGAGACCGGCCGGCGAGAGGCGCGCTCGATACTCGGCCTTCTCGTACCTTCCACAAGGATAGAATCCCATTGGAGATTCTCGCGCGAGCGTCATCCCGCTGAATCCGGACGAGCGGATGTTCCGTGGGGACGTTCGCTGACGTGCGCGTCCGGGACCTGCGGTTATCGCTTGCCAACGTCGCATCTTCCGTATCTGATGAGTAAGGGCTCTTGCGAAAGCGCGATCGGTCATTCCGCGAATGGTGGCTCGCGAGATCGCTTCGATCGACAACTCTACCTTGCGAAAGTCGCTCAAGATCGAGGACGTTGAAACGGCCAGCCGAGCCGAGGCTGTCCAATATTCGTGCCGTGCCGGCGCGTTATGTATTTATTAACGTGCAATTGACTGTCTCTTGGCGGAGACGCGGAAATTCGACCGCTAGCTTCTCGCCGAGAGAGAGAGAGAGAGAGAGAGAGAGAGAGAGAGAAAGCGTTATTTATTGAGCGCTCTAGGATAGTGTCCCCTCAAGCGCAAGGAAGTCAAAAATGATACAAAGAATTTTTAGTTATATATTAGTTGAAAGAATATGCTAGATAAGTATAAGCAAGTAGTGGAATAATATAATATAAAAAAAAGAAAATATAATACAAAAAAAATAATATAATGAATAGTGGTGTAAATAATAATAGATTAATATGCAGTAATATAAAGTAATATATATAGAGTAATAATTAGGCAGTCGGGGCAGAGAGAGAGAGAGAGAGAGAGAGAGAGAGAGAGAGAGAGAGAGAGAGAGAGAGAGAGAGAGAGAGATGATCTTCCTGCAAAAGCATCTGGTTGCGGATGCAAAATTGTTCCAACGGTGCGACACGGTCGCACAGTGTGTGCGGCTCTCTCCGCGTGTGTAACGTCGCTGTTCGCTATTGATTCGATACAGCGAGAGCTGCGTATATAAAACGTAATACGCCTCGTAACTCGCGTTAGTAAACGATGACGATCGCGGCCGCCGGTTCAAGGTTGCTCCGTCATCCGTATCTTGGTCCACGTCTCTTGCTCGCCTCCGGTCCCTAGAATCTATCTAGGCTAAGAGACGCTCGGTTAGGGAGGGGGAGAAAGAAAGAGAGCGAGAGAGATTTTACGACGGGCGGCGCAAGACGCGAGTGATAAACGACAGATAAGACACCGAATTAAATATGCGGGCGTTTATGAACGAGCTAGATACGCTAAAGAGGAGAGAAGGTGCGTCTGTCGTCGCGGCGGCGGCGGGGCGGCGGCGGCGGCGTCGTCTCGCGCGAGAAGCGACTCGCGCGAAATCCACCACCGCCGGGGAATCCTGTCGTCGCGTCTGGCCGCTCCGCATGCCGTTGACGAATTAATCGGCCGCGCCAAATTTTCTGATGCGGGCTCATTAGCGAGAGAACGCGCTCCCTCTCGAAGTGATTGCGCGCGAGCGAAAGGCTGTCCGGCCCGTCGCGTTAATGACAGAAAACGATAGCCGGGAATTTCTCTCTCCGCGCCGCGCGCTCGCAGCGCTCTCTCGCATGTCGTAACTCCTTCGCGGTCCGTCTGACAAGCCACGTGCGCCGTAACATGCGATCTCGCCTCATCATCTGTGAAACACCAATTACCGAGTAATTAAGAAACAATTTCGCGTGCAAATACACTGCCCGCCGGACTAATGGAGAGTGATACGATCCGCGTACTAATGGATTTCGATTTTAAATATATCGCGCGAGAGAACTCCGCTCGCGCATACTCGCACGCAGGCCCGTCGTCCAACGCTCTTCATGTTTTCGAGTGCGCGCGCGTGACCTTTCTTATTTGTCAGACTGCTTATCAGCTGCCTATTTACGATATCGGCCGCGTATCGATCAGCGTATTTGACAGTACATTTGACACGCTAAGTTCCCAATTAAATACGCCGATAAGATCGCACCTTTCCGCAAAAAAGTCGTACATACACATACATATATATACATTCGCGCGTTCTGATGAGTTGCGCGAGTTATCGTGCGATGAATGTCAAGGCCGCGCGCCGTTATCTCGCATCTCGCGTTCGTTTTTCGATTGGTGCACGGCCCTGTTAAAACCGCCTTGTTGGTCAGGCGCGAAGTAGGTCAGCGGTTGGCGATCGGGCTCACCTGGATCGCGTTGTCGCCGATGAGAGGGGGCTTTCCTACCCTGCAACCGTGCAACGTACCCCATACGCGGTGGTTTCGGCACGTTCCGGATAATGCGGATCATTCCTTACGGTCCGCCGAGGAATCCTTTCGCCGGTCTCGCAATGCTGCTACGTCGATATCGCCGCGAAGGAACAAATGTCATGCCATTTTTATGCCGTCTGCGCGAGGAAATTATGCTGCAACTTTAATAACCTCCATTTTTACTCCGCCGACGAGCGTTCAGTTTTATCGGCTCGCTTAGCTTTTACGACGGTGTTTACGACGACCGTTAATTTAGCGGGACGGACTTTCGGTGGAACATTCGTTGCTTGGTCGGATGTGACGGCTGGGAACACACGGATGGAATAATTGCGGCGATGATCGGAGACACGCATGAATATCGCGAAGAGAGCCGACCGGTACGACCTGGCGACACGAGTTCGGGAAGAAAGAGTGAGAATCGCATCGCGGGCGATCGATGAAGATCGATCTCACCGCGCTCACCCGTACGCCGTGGTGTCGCCCGGCGAAAGACACGTTGGTACATTCATAATCATTTATAATCGCGCCTGCGTCGCAGTTGTTGTATCTTTTTTTTTAATTCTCCATCGGTACGATTAGCCTCTCCTCGAATAGATTCAGAACGGAGGCGCTTTATTAAATCAATAATATTTATATCGCAGGCCTTGTACCTTTTCCCGCGGGCGCCGGCGCGCGCGTAGGCTTTTGCCTATTTAAATTTAACGAACCGTCACGCTTACGTAACGCATCGCCAAAGTATTCCAACGGGGCACTCGATTATACGAGACGCAAGTTCGTCGCCATAAGAGAAAAGAGCACATCGGCTTGTGAGATTCTCTCTCCCTTCCTCCCTCTCTCTCTCTGTCTCTCTCTCTCTCTCTCTCTCTCTCTCTCTCTCTCTCTCTCTCTCGCGATACGACCATTGCTCCTTCCGTCTCTCTTTCTCTTCGTTCCTCTTTAGCAATTCATGCCGCCTGGTCTGGGGAGACGTCGTCTGACCTCATCCTCGAGAACTTGTCCCACTTTGCCGATCTCCCTCTTCTCCTCTCCTCTTCTGAAAACCGGGGATCTCGGACGCATCCATCTTTCACGGCTTTCGTAGTATTCTCCGACGTCCACGGACAGACTCGCGAATTAGTCCCAAGATTCGTTTCTCGTTACGCAACGTAAAAAAAAAACGTATATCAGGATATCGTTGGCTGTGGCCAGGGAGAACCAGTTTATCCCGAGTCCCTCGTTCTTCCGCGATTCTTTCGCTTTCGTTTCGCCGGCGCAAAAGTTCGTTCGTTCGTTCTGCGTTGACTGACGTTGAGTCTGTTACCGGGAACAATCTACCTCCACACGTAGGCAAGATCGCCTCGTAACCGAGCGTATAGGTCGCGCGTGGCTGATTGTTCTTTACACACGTGGGAAAGAGGCGTCAACGGCTGTTAAGATCTTGAATACGCTCTCGGATACCTCGAGTGTAACGTTGAACGTGCTGAGGCGAGCGTGAGGACTCAGCATTTATTTGCGTGCCTTAGCGTGAGCAAAAATGTAACATTTTTCAGCGCGATTTCCCGAGAAGCCGAGAAACGGGGCGGAACGGAGTCTGGCTGTCAGCCAACGAAGCGCACCATGAAGACGTTCGGCCATCGCTATAATTAAGGGATGTAGCAATGGCAAAGGTGCTGAAGCGTCGTAATACGTGACTGAGGCTTCTTTTCTCCTCCGCTTCCTTTTCCCTGCACTCTAATTTACCGGCGTGGTGGTCATTATCAAGTTCTCGGGGGGGGGAGGGGGGGGAGGGCGGAAGGGCGGCTCACGGAAGCCGGATCGAGATGAATCTACGAGAGCTCGGCTGATGTATTATTGGCCGGCCATGTTACTCCGGCTGGAGCGGCACGCGACCGTCTCTGGTTGCTTTCAACGGCCGACGTCTATTTAAGTTTTCTTCCTCGAGTCGGCACCACCGTCGCAACAAACAGCGAACGCGCCCGGCGAACAACGAAAACGAGCCCGATCTCGTCGGACTCGTTGTCTCGTCGTTCCGGTTCAAAGTTTCCCTCCATCGACGCGACGCGGGCCGCTCCGTTAATCTTCTTTCTATCGGCCCTACCTGTCCGCGCGCAAATAAATCGATCGCAGATGGGCGGGGCGCGCGGCTACGCGCGCCGCGCGAGGCGTGCGGACGCGACAATCGCGAGAGAGTGGAAATCGATTTTCACGCGTTTTACGCGTTAATGTCAGGTGCGCCGCCCAAGGAGACGATATTTTCGCGAAGACGTTAACATTCGCGCAGCGCGAAAACGTCACGGAGCACACACTCGCGGCACAGCTTCCGAACAGCCGAAGGTAGCCTGGGGAATTATTTTACGCGCGATATGAACTTCCTCGCGCGTTGCGGCGTTCGAAAGATGGCCGAGTGAAAATTATTAATTAGCCGTTGCGGCGTGTAAACTTGGGGACTTTCGTATATATGGTATATATATATATATATAACACGAGTCAGTCGCGCGATGCAGCAAGGTCTATTATTCAAACAAACATCTCGTCTGCGCGCGCTGTGAAGGGAAATCGATTCCGACTTCGTCGGGGAATTTATCTCGTTGGGAACGTCCGGGTGTCTCTCGTGGGACGTTCTATATTTGCGCTCTCATTCTTATTCCACGCACTTTCGTCGTGGCCCGGCGGGCATCATGCGCGACGACGAGAATTTCATGTTGTAACGTGGGTCTTTATAACGGCGCGGTTAATGAGTACTCCGCTCCGTTTCAGCCTTCGCCTGTCTCTTTTTGGAGGGCGGTTCAGTCTCGAGCAGGCACGTGAACGAGCAGACGAGTGTGTTCCGTCGTCTGGAATCGCCACGGAAATCGCCGGCGAGCACGAGATTTGTAGGATCGGCTGAAATTAAGCTTACATCATCGATACGCTCGTTCCCCGCTGTACAACGCGGCCACTTCGGGACATGGCGGGACGCTCGAGGAGAAGAGGCTTTAGCCTGCGGATCTTTTTCAGACTCGGCTATCGCGTGTAATTTGTCGCCGCAGGACGCGAATTCCTGTCTGGGAAGTGGTCCGCAGCGATAACGGAGAAGAAAGAGGGCGGGAAGGCTAGGGGCGGGTGGATGAAAGTACGAGGCTGCGAGGATAAAAGATCTCATTTCGCGTAACCGAATAGGAAGCAGACGAAAAGTCATGACTCAGAAACGATATTTCTGCTCGATATTTTAGGCTTCCGCGGTCTGGAGAAATGTTTGATCTGGCGATTTCGCGTCGGTACCGTGTCCTTCGCGGATTTGCTTCCGACGTTTCGTGAACACATCTTCAGTTCGCTTTTTCAAGGAGAGGAGCGACCGGAAAGTTTCCACTTTGTTCCGTAAGAACTCTCCTCGCATCTCAATTAACCGCGATTCCGCCGGGTACGTTCGATGGCTTCCAAAATCGGTTGAAACAATTGAGAGCAATCAGAACGAGTTAGGAATTTCCTCCTGCTCTTGCAACCGGACCTGCGTCTGCTGCGCTGTAATGGAAAATCGGTTGCACGAGCCGAATAATTCTTCAGAGGATCGTGATCGAATCAACGTGGCGGTGAAACTAACCAAACGGGGCTCGACGGGGGGAGGGGGGGAGGGGGAGAAACGAAATTGCTTTGATCTTCGCGAACTAAATTCGCTTTTCCAGAAATGACGTTTCCCTCGGCGAAACCGCGCCCGGTTCGCTCATCGTCACGTGAATTCGTGCAATCCGTCTCCTCCCCCCCCGCCCCGTGCTGGGATGAATTCCAATGGCATCGATTCCGTGACGAATGACGAATGTGTCATTTATATATGCCCGCAATATCGATATCCGCGTGATTGATATCTCTCGATTCCAGTAACCGAATCCGCCGTTACGTGAGAATTTCGCGACGTCGCGAAAGGAGATGCTCACGAGTCGGCGAGTGGCAGCCGGTGGATCGTGGCGGACGATCACGCAGGTAGCGGCTGAACTCTCGTTCGAGCCGACCGATGACATAATCGCGGATCGTCTTGTCCCAGAATCCTGAATGTCGCCGGCTCTCGCGAGCTCGCGCGCCGCGCGCGTCGCGGAATAATATTTGCAGCGTCGTTTAAAAGCGAATTTATTTTGGATGCCGGCGGAGAGAGCGAGCGAGCGTTCGCTCGACGGACATTACCGCGCGGTGCAGTTTCGCGTTTGGCGACTTTTTCGCGCACGGGCGCCACGCCCTGAACGGGCCGAATCTAAAATTAGAAATGCTACGAGCGCGGGTATCGTACCCGGCGATCGGAATTGCGACACGCCAATTGCAATACATACCGAACGTTATCGCACGTCGCGGGAAATCCAACGCGTGTCGCAAAAACGACAGTCGTTTCTCGGCTCGGCTTGGCTCGAGTCGAGCCACGTAATTGCGCGCGCGCGCGCTCGCGCGGAGAGAAGGACGCCAGCGAGCAGGCTGAACGGGTTCCGTTCGAGGGAGACAGAATGCCCGCTTCTTATCAGGCAAATTCGCTTCTGCGAGTTGGAAGCTCCGTTCACCTTCGACTCCGTCCATCGTCACGAGTAATTCGAGCAGTCTTTATTCCTCCGTACGACGCGAAGAGTTTCAGTCCAACATATCACGACTTGTCACCTTCGCCGCGAAAGTCTCGCGACCGACGCGTCGCTCAATCGTCCAAATTTCCCTCATTATTTCCACGCTTTCGAATTTCGCGACACGAGATAAGCTGAATGCGTTGACGCGAGGGTTCGCCCGTTCCGCCCCTCTCGCCGAGGAAATTATGTAATCAGAAATCAGACGCATCGCAGGCGCAGCACGGTTCGCGGTTTCGTGTGTGTTTGGTCGCCCGACGATTTACCGTAACCATGACACTCACGGTCACACAAATGTTAATGAGCACGCGTGGGAATATCCTGCCTTTTCAATGTTACCAGACCGCGCCGTGCGGCTCGCCGGCTAGCTTTCGCCTACACACCGCGATCAGGCATCTCTCGTAGATAAAACGGCGATAAGGAGAGCGGATAGTAATTTCTTCTTCAACAATTTCCGAGGCGTATCGCCGGAGTTCAATAGGTCGGTCCACTTCAAGCGAGCCGCTCTGTCGCGCGATAAGTTGATATAAATTGCAGAAATTCTATAAATTCCTTGGCCCGTGTCGCGCGGCGCTGGTCGTTCGCTTGGCACGCCTTTCCGGCTTTTCCCAGTCGGATTCATCTCGAAAATCGAGCTCCGCCGAGAGAGAATGATCGAGCGTGTCCGACGAGCGTGACTCGCGCCGACGCGATAATGATCGATCGCCAGTGAAATTGTTAGCGCGATCTTCCCGACAGCGCTCGGCGACACGGTATCTCTCTTAATGTGTCTCCCCTTATCTCTGAATGAAACGTACGTGGAGAGCTGTCTCTCCGTTAATCTTATCGAGCAGAGCGCGTAGCGTTCAAGTTTCTGCTCTTGGAAGCGAAACTTCTAATATTTGCCCGAGCGCGCTTCAGCTTCGAAATTCATCGGGGACAATCTCTCTCTCTCTCTCTCTCTCTCTCTCTCTCTCTCTCTCTCTCTTTCGTGCGTCGACATCACTAGCCGTTGCGAGGCAGCGCGAAAAAATGCACGAATCACCGTCCAACAGGGAGGGTCGATGATTTACGCAGCGCAAGCCGCGTGAAGTGAAACGAAGAGGCGGACTGCTCTCCGAGACGGAGACTCGTCGCTTCGCAAATGAGAAGAAGAAGTTGCGTCAGTTGGCTCGTTGCGACGCGCCTCTGTTAATTATCGTCGGTTGCACGCGTTAAGATTACGGTAGCGCGCAGTGTTACGACGCGAAAAAATTACGCGACGCGGCCGGGAAGAGCCGATGAAAAGCAGCGCTGTCCCGAGGCGACGCGGCGGCGTCCGCGGCCGTTGGCGACATCAAACGCCGTTTTATTTCGGGGAGCGTGGATTTTTCACGCTTCTCGCAAGCGTCGTGAGCCGTTTTATCATTTCTCGCGCGCGCGCGCGCGCGAAGGAGGTACCTCCGCGACGCCTCCTCGAGCAACTTCCTCTCATTAGGAAGAGGAAGAGTTATTTTCCTCTCGCACGCGGAGATTAATGCCCGTTCCGTTCGCTCGCGAGTGTCGCGCAGAGACACTCACGTGCCGAACGCGAAATATCAAAGTTTGCGCCGGTTTGCGCTCGAAGAGCGAGTGAACGCGCGCGACGATCTACTTCTTCGCCGATCGCGTTCATTCCGCGTTCGTCGACTCGCATATAATAGCTTTTTCCGCCGCGCGCGCGCGGTCGAATCGCGTTAAAAACGCGGGCGCGCGTATCGCGAATAATTTATGTGACAGTTTAATCGTTTAATGCCCGCTCGACCCGCGGTGAGCGGCTATGCGCTAGTTGCACATTCATTATCGCACGTGCGCCTCGCGGCGTGACGTATGCCCGACCATAGTCGGTAAGGTGGCGAAAATGACGCGAGATTTAAAAATAAAACGGCGCTAATGCGTCTCGCCGACAGCAACGTAATCCTTTATAATTGACGGCGCGGCTCGAGCTCGCGAAATGTCGGCCCATCCGACTCATCCTCGTTTCCCCGTCGCTCTCGCTATTTCCATAATTTCTGCGCACTCTGATGAACACGTCGAACATGCCGCCGGAGAAATCGCTCTTAAACTCCGGCGCTCGTTTCACGCGTGCCGGAGCAGTAACGGCATGCCGTTAGACACATTGTCGAGAGATTAATTGGACACCGTCGCAGGAGTTGCAGTCATCGACGTCAAATTTCATTTCAACGCAGATTTTACACGCATAATTTCGACTGCGTGAAAACGCAGTCCGTCTGTTCTTACACTCAGAATTAATTCCCTCCGTGTCTCCTGCGAAGGAGAAGAGTATCGTGTGATTTTTAAAAATCTCAAACTTAAATTATTTCTTTTTTTGCAAAATATACATGTACGTGATCTCTCTCGCGAAAGAGAAATATATCTCTGAACTGAATCCTCGTTTCTTTGTTTCTTTTCTTTCAGACGAGCAGGAACGCGTGCAGAAGAAAACTTTCGTCAACTGGATCAACTCCTACCTGTCGAAGGTGAGTGCACCTCGGAAAGAGGAATACTGGCGTCATCTACGTGAGATTCAACGGTTCGTGCTCGCGCGCGCGTCGGCTATTTAGCCGACAGGTAGGTTTAGCCTGCCTGATAACGATAACGACGGGAGCTCGTCGTTTCTCGATTTTCTGCTTTTTTTTTCCTTCTCTCTCTCTCTCTCTCTCTCTCTCTCTATCTATCTCTCTCTTTTTCTTTTTCCCGCCGCCGCGCCGGCGGTTACGTAACGCTCTCGATCCTTACGTGACGCGTAATAAAACGCGACGGGGGACTAGCTCGTATCATGCCATCGAAACTCGAACGTTGAAGCGCTGATCTAGCCCGTACCTGGCTCTCAAGTTTCGATGCTCCCCTACTTCCGCATCCATCAGAGCTTGGCTTAGCGTGGAAATTCCGCCCGTCGTCGTCGTGACATGCATACGCCAAAAGTAGCAAAGTCGTTAAAGCGAGCGTCTCGCTCGTCGGCCGCATTAGCGACGTGGCACGACGCTAAATGCGCGAGGAGGACAACGTGCGCGGGCCGGCGAGCGAAGGACGGAGAACGATAAAAATTCGTTATTATTGCGGCCGCGATTTTATCGCGTTTCCTTCTGCCGGTCGCCCTCCTCGCTCGCGATCGGATTTTTCGTTCGCCCTCGTCCGTGCGTTGGCGAGTGGGCGAGGATCGAACGAACGCAAACCCACGTCGTCGCGTTGCTTTCTCAGGTGTGATACGTTGTAAGCGGCACAGACGATCGTCTGTGAAGTGCGCAAATGCGTATTTTTACAACGTCAACAAGGTTGACAGGTCGAATTTAGCGCCGGCAGAGAATCACGTGATCGCGCGCGCGCGCTGTTTCCATTGTTCCGGCGTTATCTATGCTGCGCGATTACAATTGCTAAAGAATCGCGATTGGCGAACGTTTCCTCTGCGCAGAGAGTCCCGCCGCTCCGGGTCGACGACTTGATCGAGGATCTGAAAGACGGTACGCGCCTCCTCGCGCTGCTGGAGGTTCTTTCGGGGGAGAAACTGGTAATGAAACACCCGCCTTGCTACTTGGCGGCGGTGCTGTTGAGGCAGCGCAAAGTCGTTGCTTAAATTGCGCGTAATCTTTTCAGCCGGTGGAGAGGGGCCGTAACCTAAAGAGACCGCATTTCCTCAGTAACGCCAACACTGCGCTGCAATTTTTACAGAGCAAGAAAGTGAGTACGCCTCTCTTGTGTGTGTGTGTGTAGCACGCTAGTAGTAGCCGGCGAGAGAATCGACCGGCACGGCTGAATATCTCACGAATTTCGCAGATCAAACTGGTGAACATCAACTCTTCCGACTTGGTCGACGGCCGGCCACCGGTGGTGCTGGGCCTGATATGGACCATCATCTTGTACTTCCAGGTACTTGTCCACACTTTCGGATACAAATGCAATTCCTACGTCATTCAGACTACAGCTATGCAAAAGAGCACCATTATACCTTAGTATGCGGTAGCTGCTTAAATATAGCGCTCGTGTCACGTAACGTAACAAGTATACTTCGAGTATGAATACGCAGCAGCAGCACCACATTTTTTTTTTTTACACCCCGCGACGAGGATTAATTTTCTACGTACACGTCGCCGTTCAAGCGGCGGCGGCGGCCGCGGCGGTCGCGTCGTCGTCGAGACCGAACGAAATTACCTGTCGAAATGACGAGTCGTCGCTCACGCGAGCCGCGCGCGGTGCCGTTTTCGTCTGAGCGGCTTTCGTGTCAAGTGCAAACTTGACCTGTTCCTTCCTTCGTGAAGGATGCATTTCCGAATCCGATCACTTCGATCCCGGATGCCCCCGCCCGAGCGCGAGCGGCCCGAGTGCGTCCCGTTCGAGGAGGCGAGCGCAATTGCGCCGTGCGCGATTAATCCTCGTCCCGCGAAGTAAAGTAACTTATGTCACTCTGCTAACCGTATGTATTCCAATGAACAAGCTACGGTCGAAGGATCGCAAGCGGGTGAGTAGAGAGCAATAAGCAAGAAGATCGTGAATCTTAGACGCGGTGAGATATTGATGTTGGCAGGCCCGAGACGGGCCGAGACCAAGTGCACTTGCATAATATTGCGCATCCCACTATAGTACGCACGCTAGAGATCGTTTCTCGAGGCTGAACCAGGACGCGCGGCGAACACCGCGCCCGACTCCGGTTGATCGATCGCGTTTTTCTAGATCGAGGAGAACACGAGGGCCCTCGAGTACCTCGGTCAGACCTGGGGCAGCCAGAGCAGCCTCGAGAGCCTCGGCACTCAGGGCTCGGCGGCGAGCGAGAGGAGACGCATCAGCAGCGAGAAGTGGAAGCAGGGTGCGCGAAAGACCCTGCTGCAGTGGGTCACCAACGCCTTGCCCAAGTCAGTAGCCCGTCGTCGGATTGTTTCTTGCGCGATTAGCTCGCCGTTGCACGACCGTGCAACGTCGTGCGCGAATCAGGCGCGCATAAACTGCTGCTTGCTTTCTCAGGGACCAAGGTATCCAAGTTCGAGACTTCGGCGAGAGTTGGAGAGACGGAAATGCCTTCTTGGCTATCATCGACGCCATCAAGGCCAACTTGGTGAGCATAGCTGCCATGAGAGAAGCGTCCAACAGAGCTCGCCTGGAGACGGCCTTCCAAATCGCCGAGGTCGAGCTGGGCATCGCGCGGCTCTTGGACCCCGAGGACGTGGACGTGCCGCAGCCCGATGAGAAATCGATCATGACTTACGTCGCTCAGTTCTTGCACAAGTATCCGGAGCCGGGCAACACGGCTCCAGATTCGTTCGCGGCCATACAGGAGGAATACGACGGGCTGTTGAACTGGCTGAGGGAGAGAGTTAGGCATCTCGAGCAACTCGACAGAAGTAACGCCTTCCCGCCGAGTTATCCGGTAAGCTTGCTAGTGAGCTCTTGGGAATGGGCCAAAATGTTCTTCGCATCTCGAACTTTCAACGCCGAATATGATTTCTGCTGGGGTGATGATAAGAAAACGATGGAAAACGTATTAACGGAGGCGCAGAGAGATACTTTGGGTTCGTCGCGATCCCTTGACTCGGGACGACGTGGTAACTTTTCTTCTTTCAGGAATACATGCTCTTCAGGGCGGAAACTGACGAGAAATCAATTATATACAAGAAGATGCAAGGTTTGGTCGATACGCCCAGCATGATAAGCATCACACGAGATTCTTGGAGACACATACAAACGTTGTGGCAACAAATGGAACTCCTCGTGAGTGCCTTCTTCATGTTCTCCATGCGGCGGACGAACGCGATTTTACGCGTGGTGAAAGTTTCCTTCAGGCGATGTTATGATTCTTCCTCCTAGATGCTACACTGGCTCTGGTTGCTGGACTCCGCATTACCGGGCGAATTGGGAGAAGCTGGTAGATGGTTGGCGAGAGCCGAAGCTCTCTTGCACTCGGACAACGACATACCGGAGGAGATGACGGAGGGAACGGCGAATATAATCTCGAACAAGCTGGAGGATCACAAGAAGTTCTTCCTTGACCTGCCGGCCGTGGCGGAGAAATTCCAACAACTCGCCAAAAACTCGCCGCTGGCCCGACAAGTTCAACCTGAACAACTGCAGAGCATGTCCGCGCGCTTCGACAGATTGCCCGACCGCGCCGCCAAGCGAAGAGTGAAGCTCAAGTTCTTGGAGCACAAATGCTGCCTGGTCGCTTTCCTGTATCTCGTAGAGACCAAGCTGAAAGGCTGGAACGTTAAATACGGCACGGAGGAGAAGGTGCACCAGATGCTGGAGCAGTATCGCAACTTCGTCTCGCGAAACAGAATATTCCAGGAGTTCCAGAAGGCCTACCTGGACATGCAGCAAGTCGCCGATGAGTACAAGCGCGACGGTGATGTTGGTAAGTGTAGACGTGCATTCAGCTGATTGGCTAGTTAATTAGAAACTAATCAATTTGGGGGAGCAAAGTTCTACCTCAGTTTGTGCGCTGGCAAGCAATTTCGTGGAACTGGGGTGAAAGCGACTTCTTCCTCTTCTTCTTCTTCTTCATTGTCGCGCAACAATACCGTAAATTTGCCGAGTTTCAGACCGAGAGGAGAGCCTCAGTATCGATCGCTTCATGCGAGAGACAGCCGAGAAGTGGAAGAACGTGTCGATGGACCTGCGCTGCACCCAGAGCATGCTCGAGGAAGTGGTGGCTTATTGGCGTCGTTGGACCATCGTGTCGGACGAGTTCGAGGCGTGGTTGTTGCGCGCCGAACCTGCTCTAAATCTTCCAGAGGATGAGCGGATGGAATTCTTCCAGGATATCAGCGTGTGGAAAGACAAGCATCAGCAGTTGTCGGACACCGTGAGCTTCTTGATAGCCACGTCCGACGAATCGGTGGCGTTCCGCTTGAAAGAGCGTTACACGAACTTGACATCCAGATGGGAGCGACTCTTCCAGGAGGCGAAGCAGTACATGCACGCGGGCGATCTGATACGAACGAGGAAGGATTACAAGGCGGGGGTGGAGAATCTTCATACTTGGCTGAGGAATGCAGAGGCTGCCTTGGCGACTACCGGACTCAGCTCGACCGAACGGATCAAGGCTTACGGGGAAAAATTGCAGACTCTTCACAACGAGGTCGAGGATATCGAGGATCTCTTCAAGAATATCAGCAAGAAGTTCCAGACTCTCATTCAAGATTTATCGCGCGACGAGGTGGACAAGATGATGAACACTTTGAAGAAGGAGAAAGAGGCCCTCGTCAAGGTGCGTGCCTTAATACCCATGCAGCTGCACTTGTATCACCAGTTGTTGGTGCAGCAAGAGTCCTTGGAAGCCGGCCAGAAGGAAATATCCGCGTGGTTGGACGAAGCCGAGAACTTCTTGGCCAGTATCAACCTCGCTGGCGGCAGGGACGCCGCACTGGCTCAGTTGGACCGCCACAAGGCCTTCTTCTCGAGAACGCTCTACTACAAATCCATGCTGGAGTCCAAGAACAAGGTGTTCTCCAGCATCGTCAAGGCCGTTGACAGTCACGCCGACGTGGAGACAGCCGAAGGCGGCGATACTCTGAGGAAGCTCAACGATCGCTTCATCGAGGTGTCCCAGGCGGCGCAGATCTGGGAGCAACGGCTGCAAGAGTCCGTGCGACGTTGGACAAGGTTCAAGGAGTGCGAGAGACAAATCTCAGAGTGGCTGTCGGTCGCGGAGACGATGATCAACGATAAGCACACCGACAACCGCCAGTCCGTCGAGTATCACAAGAATTTCTTCGGCAAGGTGAACGAGAAGTGGATACAGGATCTCGTAAAGGCTGGTCAAGATCTGCGCAACGTGTTGCCGGTCGAGCAGCAGCTCTCCATTGCCAACGCAGTGGAGGCTCTGCAGAATCGCTGGAAAGAGGTCCTCACATTCGCTCCGCTTCATCTGATGAGACTCGAGTTTCGCCTGGACGAAGCCAGCTTCCTTCAGTATCTCAAGGAGATCGAGATGGAGATCAGTGCGGAGCAACAGGCGCTGGTCAACAATGACGACGTGGACAGTATTCAGCAGCGCATCCAAGAGTTCTTCCTTAACCGCAGCTCGAAGGTCCTCGAGATCGAGCGCTGCCTGCAGACCTTGAAGAAGATCAGCGACGCCTACGGCAAACTCAAGCCGAGTGACCCCAGCCTCGCCGATGCCACGCAAAACGCCGAACGTCTGTGGGAAGCGACCGCGCAGAAGGTGGAGAACCTGAGGAAGAAGTTGCGTGAGGCCCAGCAACAGTGGGCTGCCTACAGACAGAAGTAAGCTCGTCGTTCAATCGTCGCGCGTTACCGTACGCGATCTCGCGATCTCCCTGGACGGAAGTTGCAGTGTGCCTATTTGGATCTTTTTCAGATTCGACGAAATGGTGCATTGGATGGATCACGTGGACAACATCTTGAGGACCATCTTGCGCGAGGTGAACACTCTGGAGGAATTCGAGAAGGAGAAAGCCATATTCCAGGTAAGCGACAGTTGCGATTCACGACAGATCTGCGCTGTCTCCCTCACACTTGGTTCACATACTTAAACACTCTGCTTCGCTTTTTCTGCGCTCCTCCCGGACCTTGCAGCTCCAGACCTTGACGGTAAATATGCGTGCACCTGTACTTTCCGGTTGTTCGTAGTTCCTAGCTATGCGTTTCGTTCAGTGCAGTTAACGACGCTCATTCCCAGAGTAAGATCTTCATCGGTGAGAACACCGGATCTCACTGGGAGATAAATAGCGACCTCTTCCGCTATCCACGTTGCGCTATCCATCTCATTTACGAGAGCACGACTGTAAAACGGCGTCGATTGTTCGCAGAAAATCTGCCGCGAGGCCGACAGCAAGCGCGAAGAGATGAAGTGGTTGGTACAAACCCTCGACAACCTGACGCTCAACCGTTCGGACCGCGAGGCTCTCACGGCTCAGCAGAACTTGGAACAGCTGATAACGCGGTATAAGAACCTGATACCGACGATCGAGATCACTATGACGAAGACGGACATCTATTCGAAGAGTTACACCTACCGGAAGGAGGTACGCGAGGTCTGCACTTTGTTGCGCAAGGTTCGCGAGCAGTCGAAGATCGAGATCGCGCCCGAGGTGCCCGAGAAGCTGCAGAGCGCAGTGGCTCACCAGGAATCGCGTCTCAATCAGTTGGAACAGCAGCGAGCAACAATCGTCAGCATGCTGCAGCGCGGCAAAGACCTCCTGAAGGACCAACACGCACCGCCCTTCGTCTCGTCCGAGGTCCAGCAGCTAGAGGCCAACTGGAACGACACGTACGGCCAGAGTATGGAGGCGCTCAAGTCCCTGAAGGACTCGCAGAAGCTGTGGAGTACTTATCAAGAGCAGAAGGACGAGATTCTGAGATTGATCGGGCAAGCCGAGAGAGAACTGCGGCAAATTGAGTCGACCTCTTATTACGACGCCACCCAAGTGACCTCCGACCTGCAGAAGAAGCAGGAGTTTAGCGCGAATCTGAGAAAGTCAGCGGAGGAGATGATGAGGAAACTGCGCGAGACGCATACGAATCTCCTGCAGGCGCTGACACCTCCGAGCAAGAAAGAGATTTTGGAGAAGGAGGTGACGGAAACCGAGGAAAGGATGGAGCGCACGCTGAAGATCGTACGCGAGAAGGTGGTTTATCTTCAGGAGCACAGTACTCGATGGAACAAGTTCCACTCGAAGCTGGTGGAGCTCCGATCTTGGATTCAGCAAGCCGCGCCTCAATCGATCGCGGATATAGAGGACTCCACGGCCTCGCCGGAGGAAAGAGTTCGCAAGACGGAGAATCTGCAGAAGGAGATCAAAGAGAAGGTGTCGATATTGAACGTCTTGGAGGACGAGTCTCGGAAACTCGTGAAAGGTCAGTGCTAAATTTTCTACGTAGCTTATAATACACGAAAACTTGCGAAACTCCTTCATTTCGTTCCCCATTATACTCCTCAGGGGAACTATTTTACTATATAATTTTCTATAATTTAACTTTATTACATTTAAAAAATTTGTACATCTCATCTACTTACATTTTATTAAATTAATTTAATTAAGTGTCGCCCGACGAGAAGATTATTATCCAGAATTAGAATAGAAACGAAACATTTCCCGTCAATTGACGAACATGACATACATTTGTCGAAAGTCCGAGAAATATATCCGTGAATATTTTTAATTTTCTCCGCGAATGCAGAAGACAGCGTCGACGCGCCGGCGAAGCAGCTTCGCGCCGACATCGAGAACCTCCGCAAGGCGGTGGAGTCATTGAACAAGAGCATAGTGGTGCAACGTGAACTGGCCACGCAGAACCTCGCCACGTGGAAGGAATACGAGGACGGTATCCAGAAGATAAAGCCTTGGATCGAGCAAGCGGAGTCTAAAGCAGCCACAATGGGCAGCAAGCCCGCGAGCCTGGCCCAGGCCACGCAAATGCTGGAGTCAGCCAGGGCCTTTGAGGTTCAGTGCCAACAGTATCTTCCTAAAGTGCAGAGTCTGTCGACGATCAGCCAGCAAATCAGCGGACGAACGGTGGCGCCTGACGAGGTCGACGCCGTGCATACGCGGTGGAACGCTGTTCACGACGTGGCGATGCAGACGACGAGCAAGCTGGACAAGTTAGTCTCGTCGTGGAACACCTTCGAGTCGGAGGCGAAGGAGTTCAACGAGTGGCTGCGGGACAGCGAGAGGCAGGCTCTGAAGGAGCCCAACGTGCAGACGCCCGAAGCCGCCAAGTTGGAGAAAGAGTTGGCGCAGTTGAAGGAGTTCAACAAGAGCATATCCGACCACCAGGCGCAGTTGATATCGCTGACCCAAGTCTCCGATCACATCAGCCACGGTCTGTCGTTGGACGGCGCGTCCACGCTGAAGACTCGCGTCGCTGAAATGAAAACTAGAGTGAGCAAACTCGCGGACACGGTGCGACACCACATCAACCGCGTGTCCGACTCGTTGCTGGCGCGACAAGAGTTCCAGATGAAGATCGCCGACTTCGAGAACTGGATGACGCGACTGAGGTCCAACATCAACGAGATCGGCGACGTGAGTGTGGACAACGTCGACGCTAACCTGCAAACGGTGCACGCTTATCTTCAGGAACACTCGGAGAAGCAAGCGGCGTTCACTGCGATCTACGACGAAGTGAAGCAGTTGTCGTCGCGAGGTTCGGTGCTGGAGGCAGCGGCCTTGGACGAGACTTACATGTTCCTGGCGAAGAAGTACAAAGCGCTCGAGGACGACCTGAGAGAGAAGAAGAGGGGTTTGGAGAAGTGGATCGAGCTTCTCAGCTGGCACAACGAGGCCAATGCGCAATTGAATCACTGCAAGTACGAAGCCGAGGCCAGGAAACCGACTATCGCTGACCTCGATAGGCTGTCGTCGGAGCTTCAAACAGTGTACACGAAGATCAACACGTGGAAGGAGCATGTGCCGCTGATGGACAGCACTCTGGGCATACACGTTCGCGACAAGCAAGAGCGACCGGTCACCGCGACCACTTTGCTGAGCGACCTCGAGTCCAAGGCCGCGGTGCTGAAGACCGAGTTGTCCGCCAAGCGCGACAAGCTGGAGAATCTGGGCGCCAAGTGGGACAATTTCCGGAAATTGCAGCAGAAGATCACGGAGGAGATTGTCGCTACTCAAACGAGCCTGCAGGATATCACTTACGGGGTGGATACATGCGAGAAACTCGCTCCAGCGATCGAGAAGATCGACGACCTGATCGAAGATCACCAGAGACGAGAACCGGAGAAGGAGCTTCTTCATCGGGAAGGCGACAACTTGATGAAGGAGGACCAACGCGCGATCACCAACATTCAGGTGGTGGTCTCTTCGGTGGACGGCAACTGGGAGAAGGTGAACGAGCTGCTGAAAGAGCAGAGGAAGAAGTACGCTGAAATGGACGCCGACTGGAAACAATATCAGGAGGCCCGAGAAAAGTTGAACAAGTTCATCGACGAGGCGAAGACTCTCTGCCAGTCGGTGAAGGACGTGCCGACTGACATCACCCAGGCGAACGTGACTCTGGAGAAACACAAGAGAGCCTCGGACATCCTGAAGAGGAGCAAACAGTTTTTGGACAGGATGGACGCCAAGGCGCAGCAGTTGGCGAAGGAGGCGTCGTTGATGCCGAACTTCAAGACGAGTCTCATCGAGTCCGATCTGTCCGACGTGAGGAAGAAGTACCACGAGATCCACGCCAAGATAATCGACCGCACTCAAATCTACGAGACGCAGGTGATCATCTGGAAGCAGATAGAGGAGGTGAAGTACGAGCTGACGAGGTGGCTGAGCGATACGAATCAAGCGCTCACCACGGCTTGCGAGCGTTTGCTCGACGCTGAGAACGGGCAGGCAAGATTGGCCAGGTATCGCGAGGAATTGCCGGTGCATCAGCAGCTTCGTCAGGGTATCGCCACGAAAACGGAGCAGCTGTTGAAGCTGAACGACGTCGCGGACATACCGACCCTGAGATCCCTCAATAATCTCTTGGACGATCAGTTTAAGCTCGTGAAAGAAGCCGCGGACAAGCTCGCCTCGCTCACGTCCACTTTCAACGAGAAGGAGAAAGGCGTCAGGCAAGACCTGAAGAAGTGCAGCGACGCGATATCGAAGATCCGCGAGGAGATGATCAAGTGCGACGACCTGACTGGCGAGAACACGAAGATCCTGCGTCGCATCAACAAGTGCCAGGAGCTGAAGACCGAGCTGGAAAAGTGCGACCATGCGTTGTCGGAGATCGACGAGAAGCTGACAGACATGGCGTCGGAATACCCGACAGTATCGAAGTCGAGCTTGCCGAAGGAGCTACAAGCGTTGCAGCTCCGCAGAAGCGGCGTCGCCGGTTACGCGGAAAAGGTGATCGCTACGCTGGTGGCCTTCCTCAGCAAGCTCTACCACGAGAAATTCGGCGCTCTGCAACGCATGGTGGCGACGCACAAGGAGAAGGTGGCCTGGTGCGAACCGGAGCAGAGCAGCGATCGCTACAACCTCGAGGTGAAGATGGCCTCCTTGGCCGACGTGGAGGCCGGCATCGCCGATTGCTGCGCCCGGATACACGACACCGACAACTCGCTGCAGCTCCTGAGCACCGTCGAGAGCACCGAGACGATCGAGGCTCTGCGAAGCGAACGCGACAAGCTCGCGGACGACCTGGAATCCTTGAGCGCCAGTTACCGGAAGATCAAGCACGTGCTGGAGCAGAACATCGCTCTGTGGCAACGATATGAGCTCACGTCGGAGAACGTGGTCGCCTGGCTGAAGGAGAACGAGAGCAAGATCCGCGCGGAGGCCACGACGCTTCTTAACCCGGACGAGATCGAGGCGAAGATCGCCGAGATGGAGCAGCTCGGGAAGCAGGTGAAAGACTACGACAGCGAGATGAGGGATTTGATCGCGCTCGGTGAGGAGATCACCAGAGTCAGTCCGGAGTCGCGGGTGGTCCAGTACGTCGGCCACCTGAACACGCGTTACCAGTCCGTGCTCAAGTTCCTGGCTCAGCACCTCGATCGTCTCCGAGAGCTGCAGCAGATCAGGTCTCAGTACGTCGCCAACGTGAATGAGCTGGAGGCCTGGCTGCAGAATGCGGAACAGAAGCTGAAGATCTTCGACGAGATAAGCGGCCCGAAGCCGATGACCTTCTACCAGTCCCGGCTGAAGGAGCTGAAGGCCTTCGGGGAGGAGCGCGAGACCGGCCAAGCGATCTTGAACCGCACCGCGGAGACGGGTGAGACGCTCTTCGCGCGAATCACACCGGATCACAGGGAAGTCATCAGAGGCGAGCTGAAGAACCTGCGGAACCGCGTGGAAGCCTTGGCCGACCGCGCGAACATCATCTACAAGAAGATCGAGAGCGACATGATGCACCGGTCGTCCTTCGAGGACAAGTATTCGCAGGTGAAGCAGTGGGTGATCGAAGCACGGAAGAAGCTGGGAGACAAGCAGGATCTGCTACCGACGCTGCAGGAGAAGAAGCTCGCGCTCCACATGTACAAGGCCATCGCGCAGGACGTCGGGGTTCACCGGAACATCCTGCAGCAACTTCAAGAGAGACTCGGGACGACGCCGGACGACGAGGCCAGCGAGATGCTGAACAGCGTGATCCAAGCGCATGAGAAACTGTCGGAAGACGTGGAGGACAGAATCAGCGTGGCCGAGAAGCACGTCGCCAATCACGAGGCGTACCTGCAGACGTTTGAGAAGACACAAGACTGGATCAACACGGTGGTGAACGAGGCGGTGGCGATCAGCGAGGACCTCTCGATCGACCGGGACACGGCCAAAGCCAAGATCGCCTTGATCGAGAACGTGCTTCAGCAGAGAGCCGAGGGCGAGAGGATCTTGGAGGACTGCAATCAGCAACTGAACATCATTCTCGAGCAAACGTCTATAGCGGGCCACCCGGCGCTGCTGAAGGGCTTCGGGCAGCAGAAGAAGCTCTGGGAGGACTTCCTGCAGCGATGCGTCGCTAGCAGAAACCGGCTGAACCGCCTGTTCGACGAATGGTCCGAGTTCGAGAAGCTCGTAGAGAGTCTGGAGTCTTGGATCAAGCAGATCGAGACGCAGGTAAAGGATCAGAGCCTGAAGAGCACCGAGGAGACGAAACGCGCACACTTGCAGAAGCTCAAGTCCCTCGAGGAGACGATCGTGGCGAAAGGAGCAGAGTTCAACGCGGCGGTCGAGAAGAGTCAAGGTGTGGAGTCCGACTTGGCTGCCAGGGTGTCCCGCCAGGCTACCAAGTATCAAGCGATCAGGAATCAGGCGAAAGAGGCGGTGGCGAGATACGAGCAGTTCGTGAAGGAGCACAGCCTGTTCAACGAGAGGTACAACCAATTCTTGGACTGGATCACCGAGATCCAGGCCGAGCTGAGGAAGTACAGCGAGATCGTCGGCGACCTCACCGTGCTGCAGAGCCGGCAGAAGCACATCAGGGATCTGGGCGACGTGAGGACGCGCGAGAACGCTCGCTTCGAGTCCGTCATCGACCTCGGCGAGAAGCTGTACGTGCACACCTCGCCGGAGGGCAGGGAGATAGTCCGGCAGCAGCTGAGAAACTTACGCGCTCTGTGGGACGGCTTCTCCGAGGACCTGCAAAGCTCGACGCAGAAGCTGGATCAGTGCCTGATGCAGTTCGCGGAGTTCTCCTTGTCGCAAGAGCAGTTGACCGCTTGGCTGCGAGACGTGGAACGCGCGATGCACCAGCACACCGAGCTCAAGTGCTCCCTGGAGGAGAAACGGGCGCAGCTGCAGAATCACAAGATCATGCATCAGGAGATCATGTCGCACCAGACGTTGGTCGAGTCAGTCTGCGACAAGGCGCAGCAGCTGGTTGACCAGACCAAGGACACCTCCTTGAACGTCTACCTGCAGTCCATCAAGCAGCTCTTCCAGAACATCGTCGCCAAGTCGCGGGACTTGCTGGAGAACTTGGAGGACTGCTGCGAGAAGCATCACCGCTTCAACCTTCAGTGCAAGTGCTTCTCCGACTGGCTGCACGGAGAACGCGGCAAGCTAGCTGAGCACAACGACGTGACGGGCGAAAGATCCGAGATCTCGCGCAGGTTGACCAGCTTGGCGGTGCTGAAGGACGGCCAGGCGCAGGGAGCGGAGCACCTAGCGCGACTGAAGGAGCTCAGCGAGGCCGTGGCTAACAGCACCGCGCCGAAGGGTCGAGAAGTTATCAGTAGGGAAGTGGCTACCTTGGAGAACAACCTGCGCCAGTTCTTGAGCGAAATCGGTAGGTGTCTATTATCAAAATTGGCAAATCGTCATATCTCACTCGCGTCAAACCTCAGTCAAAAGTAACAAAGCAGCGAGGAACTTTCTTAGCTTAAGCCATCCAATTACCTGGTCCAATCTACCTGATTTCTGCAACTGTATTTCCAGAATCCGTAGAAGAGCGACAAAAGACAGCGTTAGAGAGGTGGCAGAGCTTCGAGGATCAGCTGGAGGCTCACACCAAGTGGTTCCGCTCGATGGAAGCTGCGTTCCGGGATCAACAGCTGCAGCCGACGCTGAAGGACAAAGAGGAACGACTGCGCGCATTCAAGGAGAAGCGCGAGACGATCGCACGGCAGGAGCGGAAGATAGACGAGTTCGTGGATAAGTCGCACGGATTGCTGCACGCGAGTGGCATCGAACGCATCAAGCCGCTCATCTCCCAAGTCAGCAACAGGTATGTGTCGAGATCCTCCTCTCACTGCGAAGAGATTGCTGTTCTCTCACATGGGAATACGATTGAATGCGCAGGTATCAGCTGCTGCACGTGCTCAGTAAGGAAGTGATAAACCGTTGCCAGAGCGTCGTGGACGACCACCGCGTTTACGAGGAGAAGCTGAGGGCCATCGACGTTTGGCTAACCCCTCTCGAGCAGAACCTGGCTATCCTGAGGAAGGAGGAGATGGGCAGCGACCTTGAGGCGAGAAATTCCCGCTTGCAGATGTTGCTGGCCGAGAAAGAGCTGGCCGATCATCGCTTGGCCAGCTTGACGGCAGTTGGTGAGAAGATTCTTCCGGACACCTCCGCTCAAGGTCGCGAAGTGATCAGACACGAATTACGGCATGCTCGAGAAAGGTGGGATCGTTTGGCCGAAGGCATCACCGAGCAACAAAAGAAGCAGGACGCGCAATCTTTGCAGTGGACCAGCTACCAAGAGACCCTGCAGCAGATTCTGGCCTGGTTGGACACGATGGAGCGCGCGGTCAAACAGGACTCGTCGACTGTGTGGTCTTCTTTGCAGGAGATCCGATCGAAACTAATTAAACTGAAGGTACGCTGGTGTACGCTTCTTAGATTTTAAGACTCATCTTTTCCTGCCATTTCCCGAATACAAGGAGGAAAAGTACGATGATGAGGTAAAGAACGCTAATTACATCAGCTGTGAATTTTTTGTCGCAGACCTTGCATCAAGAAATTCTCGCTCACAAACGCATCGTCGAAGGTATCGCCGAGAAAGCCAACACTCTGGTTCAAGTCACTCAGGTTCCGTCGGACGTTCACGAGAAAGTCGCTTCGGTGTCGAAGAGATACGAGAGGCTGGTGGACGTGTCCCAAAGAGGAATATCCAGCTTGGAGGGGTTGCTCGACATCTTCCAACAGTTCCACGACCTTCAAAAGGCTTACCAGGACTATCAGAAGCGCCAGTGGGAGCGCCTGGCGAATTACAGCGATTACACGGGCAACAAGGCCGCTCTTCAGGCCCGACTGGCTAAAGTCCTAGAGATACAGGACAGCCAAAGCGAGGGTGAGTTGAAACTCAACGTCCTCGGCGAACACGTGGCGCAGAGCTCGCGCACTTTGCCACCTCGCTCGCAGGAATCGATGGAACGGGATCTGACCAATCTCAGGTGGGTAAAGTTCTTCTGAAACCATTTTGTCCATGAAATCACGTCGCTCCCTCAAAATGCGATATCTCCCCCTCTAGATTCGAGAACAAGAAGTTCGCGACAGCCGTGAGCGACGTGGTGCGTTGCATCGAGGAGAGAATACAGCAATGGAGCGAGTACGAGAACTCGTTGGAACGTCTGCTCGCCTGGCTCACCGACGCCGAGACGTCGCTGAAGAACTACTCGCTGAAGAACACGCTCGAGGAGAAGCAGGAGCAACTCGAGAAATATCAAGTGAGTCCGAGAAGACGGCAACGCGCGTTGCGAATTTCTCCACAGAATTTCTTTAGCTTTACGTACATTTCTCTTACGTGTCCCCCATTTTAACGAGCGTGACTAGCACAGAGAGAGAGAGAGAGAGAGAGAGAGAGAGAGAGAGAGAGAGAGAGAGAGAGAGAGAGAGAGAGAGAGAGAGAGAGAGAGAGAGCGTTTGAGCGTTTACCCCTTATCGCATAGAGTTTGCCCCTTCGACACAAGATAGTGACAGCATAGTTTAGAGTGTGCGCATTTGAAGAGTTTTCCTTTCGACGTAGACGTAGCTCTGTTTGCTGACATTTGTCACGCAGCGTGGATATCCGAGAGAAAATAATCATACATTGTTACACGTGTTTCCGAATTCGGTCACTATGCGGCCGTGAATAATCGTATACGCGAGTCCGCGAGTGGAAAGAGTGCTGTCGTATACAAACGCAATTCAAGTAATCGTCACATATCTGTGGCGACTCGTAACGTGTAGAAGTTCACGAAGGTACATTTTCTTCGTTTCACTCAGCAGCATTTTTTCTCGCGTGTGGACACGCGTAATTAAATATGATTACCCCGTGGCCATGCAGAGACGTAATTTATATATGGCTCATGTATAACTATATATACAATTTTGTGTAATTGTATACAATTTTCTGTGCAATGGTATGTATTCTTTTCTCTCATGCGAGATACTTTTGAGTCGACGAAAGACTGGGAGAAAACGTGTCCCAGCCACGCAAACTTTTGTCCTCGCTTCTAGCGCGCAATTATCCCCTCACGCGCAATCAATGTACATGATAACATTTCCCAGGACCTGCAAAAGGTTGCCGAATCGCGGAACACGGACGTGACGGAACTGGTTGCGCTCGGTGACCATCTCGAACAAGTAAGAAAGTGCGATATGTGCGAGCTGCAAATAAGGAAAAAGGCGCGATTGCGAAAGAGAGAGAGAGAGAGAGAGAGAGAGGGAGAGGAGAGAGAGAGAATGCGAGGCGGATGATTGCAACACGCAACACTTACGAGGAATCTCTCCGACACGATTGCCCTTTTCTCCGTCTAATCTTCCAGCTTTCGTAGCTTTTGTCAGAGCAGGTGGAGGATGCCAACGCTTCGTCTTGCGATTTTATTGACGCTGTGAAGCGACACGCGCGATCGGTCATATACGAAACACGGCGACCGACTTCGCTGAGACACGAAGAGACACGGAGAGCACAAGCTCTCTTAATTCTCTCAATTCGCTCGATTAAGCTTCGTGTCGCTCGCTCGCCCTGTGAAAATATCGCCGAACGCGCCGAGACCAAGAAATCACGCCCGAAGAAAAGGGCTCGCACTTTGTAACACCGAATAATAACGACGTTTTACTTTACCGCATCTCGACGTCGCCAAATGTCGCACTCTGCATTTGGCGGGCATTTGGCGGCCTAGCGAGATTCACTTTCAGCGAACACATTACGCTTCCGGCTTCGAAGCTCGCAGTGAAAGGGAGTTCTGTTTGTTGCTGCACGCGAATGGAAGTAAAGCTTCTTTTACGCTGAGACTTACGTCGCGAGTAAGTTTACGGGCGAGCCCGGATGTCCGGATCTCGAGCATTAAACTCTCTGTGTTCCTCTTTCCTCGTTTCTCTTCGATTAACACGTACACTTCTTCGTTTAACACCTAAGTAACGGTAGCCTAACCAAATCGCTCAAACAGGCTTCTGCTCGCTCTCGCGCAGGAAGAGAGAACTACTTTTCTACTTCCTCCCTCCGCGCGCGTACGAAACGCGCGGAAGAAACGGCGCTGTCTAACGAATCGCGCTTGCAAGCGTAGTCGGGCGGCGCGCTAAAATGAGAGCGATAACTTTTGCAGTCGCTGATCGTGAACCTGCGGCAAAACGAGGCCGAATTCGACAAGATGAGCGACGATTCGTCCGAGCTGATGCAGATCAGCGGCGAGACCAGATTCTCCGCCAGCGTCCAGCAAGTCACGTCGCGCTTCCAATCGATCCAGGCGACTGCCAAGGTAAAGGAGCAGAGCAACATAGTTACCTTCGCATAAGATGCAATTACCCTGTAAGATGTGTGTGTGTGTGTGTGTGTGTATGCGTGTGTGACACCTTTATGAATGATCACACTCAGACCCAAATTCTTTTCGGCGACTTCGACTTCGACGGAGATGTGATCGATTCTTCCGCGCAGGAACTCGTGAAGAAATGCGAGCAGGCGGCCGTGGACCACGCGAGCTACTTGGAACGTTACAAGCAGTGCTCCGAGTGGCTGGCGAACGCGAGGGCGCGTTATCATGCCACCAAGGAGAGCACCAGCGGCACCCGTCAAGAGCTGATCACGAACGTCGACACATTGAAGGAACTGCTGGCACGTCAGTCTTCGTCCACGCTGCTGATAAACAGCACCGTCGAAGCTGGCGAGCGACTGTACCCCACGACGGGCATGGAGGGTCGAGAGATCATTCGTCAGCAACTGCTGGACCTGCAGCAGGCCTTCGAGGGCCTGTACGACGGCGTCGCATCGACCGAGCGCGAGCTACAGGCGAAGATCTCGCGGTGGTCCGGCTTCGACGAGTGCAGCGAGGCGTTCGAAGTCTGGCTGAACGCTGCGGAGGCGCAGTTGAAGCCCGAGATCGAGCTGAAGACCACTCTGGACGAGAAGCGCGCCCAGCTGCAGATCTACCGTACGATCTTGCACGACGCTCAAGCGCACCAGCAGGACCTGCTGAATCTCCGCGACAAAGCGGACAATCTGCCCGACCGCACCGACAAGATCGACCAGACGCTGAAGAGTCTCACGAGCAGGTACAACGTGGTGCTGAAGCGGGCGACCAAGTTCGTAGAGAGGTACGAGGGTATCGTGAGCGACCATCAGCAGTACAGCAAGGCCGTCCTGGACACGCACGAGTGGCTGGACGCCACGCACAACGCCGTGAGCCTCTGGGGCGACGTGGAACTGGAGAGAGTGTCCTTGCACACGAACCTTGACCGCCTGAAGAATCTGCTGCACAGCCTGCCGGAGGACGAGTCGCGGGTACAGCAGATCAGGTCCCTCGGCGAGAAGGTGATACCCGGTACCTTGGAGTCGGGGCAGGTGAACATACGCTCGCAGATCGACTCGTCGCAGCAAGAATGGGAGGGTCTGATCTCCGCCGTCAAGTCCACCATCGAGGCGTTGGAGAACAAGCTGCAACAGTGGAGCGAGTTCGAGAGCTCGAAGGAGAGATGCCTGGCGTGGATGAGGGACACCGACACGAAGCTACACGCCGTCGATCTCAAGGCCAGCTTGCCGGAGAAGAAGAATCAGCTGGAGAGACTGCGCGCTCTTCAGGGCGAGGTGCGCGCGAAGGAGCTGGAGATCGACGCCGTGGCCGAGCGAGCTCAGCAGCTCCACAAGAACGTCACCTCCCGTACGTCCTACATGTCCGAGCTGAGCATCAAGTACCAGCAGATCTCCAGCAAGGTCAAGGACCTGAATAATCGTTGGCACCAATACGTCGCCACGCATCAGGAATTCGATAACCAATTGGCCGAGTGCACCACTTGGTTGGAGGACATCGGGAATAAGTTAGCATATTGCTCCGATTTGAGCGCGTCCTCGCAGAAGGATCTGGAGCAGAAGATGGATATCGTACAGGACCTGTTGCTGTACAAAGAGGACGGTTTCGCGAAAGTTCAGAGCATCATCGAGCTGGCGCAGGCGGTTCTAGCGAATACAGCTCCGGCCGGCCATCGGACGATCAACGACGCTTTGGCGAAGCTTCAGGAACAGTGGAGCGCGTTAGCGTCGAAGATGCTGGAGACCAAGACGAACTTGGACGACTCGATAAACAAGTGGGCCGGCTTGCTGGAGCAGATACAGTCTGTCAATAAGACGGTGGAGTACATGCGGACGTCCATCGACGAGATCTCGCAGTTCCAGACGACCGTGTCGGAGAAGAGGAGCCAATTGGAGCGGATCAAAGCCCTGGAGGAGAAGGTCCGCTGCGAGAACATCGAGGTGGACAATCTCAAGTGCAAAGTCACCGAGATGATCGCCAGCGGTCAGCAGGGTCTGGCTGCCTCGCAGGCGCAGGACATACTCAATAGGTTCGATGAGCTCTTCGAGAAGATCAAGTCCTTGTTGGCCGAACGGGAAGAGCAGTATAAGGATCATCGACTTTACAAGGAGGCTCACGACGATCTCATCGGCTGGCTCAGCCGTGCTCGCGAGAAGATACCATCCATGAAGCAGAGGTCGCTCAGCGACAAGCTGGCCATCGAGAACGCAGTGGTGCCTCTCGAGAGTCTGCTGAATAAAAAGGCGCAGGGTGAACTGCTGGTGGAGCATTTGCAGCATACCGGAAAGGTCGTCTGCGCCAGCACCAGCCCCGCCGGGCAGGAAGTCATCAGGAACGAGATACGGGCGCTCACGGAGAGTTTTGAAGGACTGTTCAAAGGTAAGAACCTGACTGAATATAATCATTATGATTTTATACGAGATATTGCAGTATATTTAATTGAATATTACCACGACACAGCGAAGTGTAGAAATGAAAATTTCTCATCACGTATGTCTGACAGAACGTAAACGAAACAGAACGAACATCTCGTGATCTTGTTGCAGAAATCCAACAGCAGAAGAGTCAGCTGGAGGCCACTGTGAGCCAATGGCGGGACTACAAGGACGAGTACGAGCGACTCAGCGACTGGCTGCAGCAATTCGACATTCTTATCAAGGCGCAGAAAAATGCCCTGTTGCCAAACTTGAAGGAGAAAGAGAAACAAGTGCAGGAAGTGAAGGAGTTGCTGGACAACCTCATGAAAGGCCAGGAGCAGATCGACAAGTTCAACAAGACCGCCGCCAGTCTGTTGTCCTCTCACTTGGACACTTACGTCAACAATCAACTGCGACACTTGAACTCGCGCTATCAAGTGCAAGTGAATCTCGCGAAGGACGTGTTGAACAAGGTCGAGACTAACTTGGCCCAACACCAAGAATACGAGGACAATCTCGAGAGAGCTCGTGACTGGATCAAGAATGCCAAACAGATCATACGTCAAGGTACGGAGGCGGCCTCGAGCAGCAGTCGCGAGGAGTTGCAGAGCAGACTCGACAAGATTCAAGAACTGCTGAGGAAACGCGAAGAAGGTCAGAACTTGGTGCACTTAACCGTGAACTGCGGCGAGAAGGTGATGAGGAACACGCGATCGGACGGTCGCGAGGAGATCAACGCGCAGCTGAAGGAAATCCAGAACGACTGGGAACGTCTGGTGAAGAAGATCTCGACCACGAAGGTGCATCTCGAAACGAGTCTGCTGCAGTGGGCGGATTACAGCTCGTCGTATTCGCAGCTGCAACAGTGGATCAACGATCGCGAGGCCAAGTTGCAGCAAGTATGCGAGCAGAAGGTGTCGAAAGCTCGCAAGGGTCTGGTCGGACTCAGCTCCTTGGCGATCGGCGAGAGGAAAGCGAACCTGCGACAGACGAACAGCATCGTCCAGGACATCGTGGCCTTCGAACCCATGATTCAGTCGGTCACCACCAAGGCTGAAGACTTGCAACAAGCAACTCCGGCCACGGAGATCTCGATCAAATATGAGACCTTGAGCAAGCAGGCTCAAGAGTTGTACGCGAAGCAGAAGGAGACTGTGGAGCAGCACCAGGCCTTCATCGACAGCGGCAACGAGTTCATCCAGTGGATACGAGCGGCTAAGGAGAGGCTCGGCAAGTGCTCGGAGCCTACGGGGGACAAGGAGTCCTTGGCCAGTAAAATCACGCAGCTGAAAGTTCTGCAGAGCGAATTGCCGGAAGGCCAGAAGAAGCTGGAGAAGGCTCTGGAGCAAGGTAACGCCGCTTGTCAGATCGCGGATGCTGAGGACAAGGAGATCATCGAGGAAGAAGTAGCTTTGCTACAGGAAGAATACGATAACTACGTGTGAGTATAACAGTTGAATGCAATTCTCCAGTTTTAATACTCTTAGAGTTTTACACAATCTGATCTGCATTTTGCATCCCGTTTAAAACAGGGATTCGTTGAATAACACGAAGAGTTTGCTCGAAGTCGGCATAGTGAAGTGGACCGAATATGAAGACCAATTCTCCGACGCTACGGAATGGCTTACGCAGACCGAGCAGATGGTCCAAACTTTCAACAAATTGCAAGACAGTCTGGAGGAGAAGAAGAACGTTCTCGAGCAGTTCCAGGTCCATCTGCAGACGTTGTTCGACTGGCAGAAGGAACTGGACCGCTTGAACATGAAAGCTCAGATGCTGCTGGAGACATGCGCCGACACGAGAATTTCCAACGCCATTACGCAGCTCACCACCAAGTACAACGCACTCTTGTCTCTCGCTAAGGAGATAATGCGGCGCTTGGAGTTACATTACCAGGTAAATTGCACACCTATTCGTGTGTGGATTCTTCTGATTTCACTTCTCCGCGATAATTTTATCGCATGCTCTTACTTTTTCGAACTTTTTCGAACTTATTCTCATTTCCTGCTACAAACTTTGTAGCCGTCCACTGTTGTAACGTGAGTGTATAAGTGGCAGCAAAAATACGTTTCATGTTTCAAAAAATGTCAATTAGGAACACCAACAGCACAATACCTTGTACCAAGAGTGCCAGGACTGGATCGAGCGGACGCGAGATAAATTGAGCGAATGCAAGGACATTCCTAGCACACTGACTGAGGTTAACAATAAATTGCACACGTGTAAAGCCATTCGGCAGACGTTGGAGCAAGGCCAGAATAAGTTGCGATACGCTCTCGAATTGAAAGAGAAGGTCATCATGAACACCGAGCAGAATGGCGCGGCGAAAATCCAAGAGGACACCGAGAACTTGAAGAGCGAGTTTGACAAGTTATTAGCCGACGTCGAGGATGTCAGACAGAAGCTGTCAGCGAGAGCGAGCACGTTGGAGGAGCTCAACAAGATTCACCGACTTATCTCGGACTGGTTGGAGGAAGTCGAGGGCAAGGTACAACCAGCGGACATTTGCCGAAACGATCTCAGCGAGAAACGCGCTCTCTTGGAGAAGTATAAGATCCTGCAGAGAGACATTCACGGTCACGGTGAGACGGTGGACCGCTTGAAAACTCGTCTGAACGAAAACCCCAGCATATCGAAGAGCCCCTACGAATCGACTATTAACAAGTACGACACTTTGAGGAAGCTAATCTCCGAAAAAATTCGCGTAAGTAGAAACTTCGAGGATTTTTGCACATTAAATGTCGCCGATTAATCATGTTGATCATTAATTCCATGCTAATTGCCGCGGCTTCCCTCCAGAACTTGGAGGACCAAGTGACGGACCACGAAAGATTCCAGCAAGCTCTGAACGAGGCGGCCGATTGGGTACGTCGCACCAAGGTCGAGCTTCAGCAATACAGCGACACCCACGGCGAGAAGGAACGCATCATCGAGCGAGAGAACAAAGTTAACCAGATAATCTCGTCCTTGCCGAAGGGCGACACGCTGATCTCGAGGGTGATCGAGCTGAGCGACGTGGTGATCGCCAAAACGGGTCCCGAGGGCCAAGACGCCATCAAACAGGACATGAAACAGATACAAGCCGACTGGAAGTCCTTGCAGGCTCAGTGCCAGGACTCGCAACGTATCCTCGGCAATTGCATCTCCAGCTGGTCCCAGTTCACGAACGCCTTGGACGGCATGAAGCGATGGATAGACCACTTCCAGAAAAAGATCGCTGACGAGCAGACTAAGGAGAACAAGACTCCGGAGGACCTGGAACGTTGCAAACGCTTGGTGGAGGAGGCGGTCAAGCAGAAGCCGGTGTTGGAGGACTTGAACGACAAGTGCGAAGCTCTGCTGGAGATCAGCGCCTGCAGCTGGGCGCGGGATAAAACGGTGCAGCTGCAGTCGGCGTATACGTCGCTCCTGACCGATGCGCAGGGTCTGGTCTCGAAGGTCGAGAAGAACTTGTCGGACCACACCGAGTTTCTCAAAGCCAAGAAGGAGATGGAGGATTGGCTGCGCACAGCTCACGGCTCGGTGGAGGATTGCATCGGCGTGGGAGACGCGGTATGGGCGAAGGATAAGCTGGAAACTTTGAAGGTGAGCTTTCATCTTTGATATTTTCACATAAATATCAATCTGTCGGAGGCGAAATTTGAATATAAATCTGAAATTATATATAAAAACGTAACTTGAATATATATAATTCTTTTATCCTTTAAACTGTGAATTTATAATATTATTCAAACGAGCTCGCTTGGTCTCATTCGGACGAATTACAATGCACAGTTGGTCGCGACGCGCGTGACCGAGGGTCAACATCTGCTGTCGACGCTGCAGAACGCCTTCGCGAAGGCGATCAACATAGCTCTACCGGAACAGCAGGATCAGCTGCGCTCGGACATGGCCAATCTGCGTTCCAGCTGGGAACAGCTGAGCATAGACCTCAATACTGTCCAAGCCAAGGTGAAGTCCGTTCTGAGTCGTTGGGAGGATCACGCGGAGGCTCATGGTAAATTCGCCAAGTGGCTGGAGGAGAACGAGAGCGTCATGAGGAGCTCTCCAGAGACGAAGGGCGAGTTCGGCGAGATGAAGACGATGCTCGAGCGGTACAAGCACATCCAGGAGGAGATGCGAGACAAGAAGTCCGATCTGGATCATTTGATCGCAGAGGCGACCGAGCTGTCGGCGTGGGCGAAGAACAACGCGACGCTGAACGGGACGAAGCAGCTGCTGGTTCGGTGGCAGGCTTTAGGCGACCTTGTCGGTGAGAGGAAGAAGCTCGTCGAGAGCGAGATACAGGAGTACAATGCGTATCACGCGGCACTGCAGGAGACGGAGAAGTGGCTGCTGCAGATCTCCTTCCAGCTGATGGCCCACAACTCTCTCTACATCACCAACAAGGAGCAAACGCTCGAGCAGATTAAGCAGCACGAAGCGCTGTTGGCTGAGATCCAAAAGTACCAAGAGGTGCTGGACGAGTTGAAGGCGAAAGGTCACGGTCAAATCGATCGATACGTCAGCGTGAATCCCGCCATTAGATCAACCATAGAAACGCAGCTGCAGAACGTACAGGACAGCTACAATTCGCTACTGAACACCGCTCTGCAGATCAAGAATCGACTGGCCGAGTCCTTGGCCAAGTTTCAGGAATACGAGAACACTCTGGAGAGCATCATGAAGAATCTGGACACGTACGAGGCGGAAATGAGTCAGAGCTTGGACGCGCCTCTGGATAACTTGACCTCGGCTGAGCAGAGCCTCGAGAACGCCCGCACTCTGCACAACAAGTTGCAAGGCGAGAAAGCTCGTCTGGCTCTGGCGGTGGAGGCTTGCGAAGCTGCGGCGGCGTGCGTCTCCAGGCCTGGAAGTCCTCTCGACGCACCGCCCATTCAAGTCCCCGCGAGAGAAGTTGAAGTTAGAACGAGACTCGACGATCTCATCGATCAGGTATGTGATTAACGTGTGGACGTGTTGGACAGTTTCCCTCTATCTTACGTAAAGAAGAATTCTCTTTTAATTTCAATATAAGAATTGTATAAGAACGAAATAAGTTTTATATTTTATTTCTTACAAGAATTACTTGAAACAATAATATTCGGTGTATAATGCTAATTTAATTAATTTGAAACATATATTGTATAATTTATTTAATACTTCAAGCACAACTTTCTCTCGTTGCCAGATGCAAACGCACTTGGCGAACGTGATGAAGACAGTGGGCGAGCTCGAGGAACAATTACGACAAAAGAACGCGCTTCGCGCTTGGATTAATCAGCAACGAGCGCTCTGCGCCGAATGGAAGTCACGACCGGCGAAATTACGGTCGGAGGCCGCCCAGGCCGAACTGCAAGCGATGAACGAGCTGCTCGCCAACGTAGCCGAACGTCGCACCCGCGCACTCACGGAGCTGTCGATAGACGAGGAGGACCGCGATATCGAAGAGGGACTGGATAAGTTGGAGGCCGAGCTCATCGACGCGATCTCCGGCAAGCAAGCGGCGCAGGACCTCATTCAGAAGTACAGGTCGCAGGTGCAGGATATACAGAGCTGGTTCGACAGCCTGTCGAAGAAGGTCGACGTGATCGAGAAGGGCAGCGGGCTGACTATCGGCCAGAAGATCTCGAACCTCAAGGACATCACAGCCGAGTACGAGTCGCAGGGTCCGGAGAAACTGGCCGAGATCAAAAAACTCGGCGACCAGGTGATGGACTCGGTCAGCAACTTGGACTCGCAGCAGATCGAGGAGCAGATCAAGTCGGTGGAAAGGCGGCACGCGGACATCGGTAAGAAATTGCAGAGGAAGGCGCAGGTTTTGGACATGACGGCGCAGGGCATCGAGGCGACCAGGCGGGAGATCGAAGAGAATCGCGAGTGGATCGAGCAGAAGAAGCAACAGGTGAAGATGCCGGAGCTGCTCGGATATGAGAGCAAGCAGGCGGAGGAGAGGCTGCTCGCTCTCAAGGTAATCTCACTCGCTCGATATGTTCTATCGGAAAAGTGTCCGGGGACGCATTAACCGTACGTAAGTGTTCAGCCTCAACTGGTAATTCTGGTTTCCGCAGGCTATGCTGAAGGAAGCCGACGGCAAGCAACTGATCATAGACACGCTCGAGAAGAGGGTCGGTAATATGCAGAACGAACTGGAGACCAGCGAGCAACAACAGCTGGAAGCCGACACGAGGGCGTTGCGCAGCGAGCAGGTCGAGTTGTGCGGCCTCTTAAGAGAAGAAATCTCCACCGCGAGTGCGGCGGCTGAGGCGCGTCGCAAGCTGGAGGCCGATATCGAGCGGGCTCGAAACTGGATCAGGGCTAAGGGCAACGACCTGAAGAAACTCAGCGGGTACTTGCCGTTGAGGGCCTCGAAGGTCGAGCAAGATATCGCGCAGCACAGCGGGCTGGAGGCGGAGATCGACGCTTTCAACGAGAGCAATCTCAAGGATATTCTCAAGCAAGGAAACAACTTGCTGAAGGAATGCAACGCGGAGGGTCGCGCCAAACTGCAAGCTCTCCTGGATGACTTGAGCAAGGATTACGAGGAGTTGAAGAAAGAGGCGAAGGAGAAGCAAGCCTCGTTGGCGGATCTTCTTCAGGGACGCAAGGCCTTCGAGAGTGAATTGGACAAGTGTCAACGGTGGATCAAAGAGGCTGAGGTGGCCACCTCTTCAGAGTTGAGACCTTCTAGTCTCGACATCCTTCGCGAGCAACTGGCAAAGGTACGTTTCCGCAATCAATTTCATTTCTTCTTTGCACCTTTCTCGTCTGAAGGAAATGTGGAAGGACGTTCCTCTTTTTATGTTTATTCACAGTACGACCGGCTGAAGAAAGAGGCGCAGGAATACGGCGATGATATCGAGAAGATCAACCAGCAGGGTAAATCGATCTTGCCGACCGTGAGCGACGCGGACAAGCAAGAACTGAGCGAGCAACTGAGAAACATGAAGGAGGCTCACGGACGCGTGGCCGGCGTGATAAACGAGAGAGCGATCGCGCTCCAGAAGAGCATCGACGAAGCCGAGGAAGCTGCCGCTCGAGTGGCGGAGGCGATTCAGTTCATGTCGGACATTCAGAAGGAACTTCAAGACCTGAACAAGCCGATTGGTGCTCGCGTGGAGGATGTGGAGGGGATGCTGGCAGCTTACGAAAGGATCCTCGGTGACCTCAAGGCCAACAAAGCGAAACTATCCGATTTGCAATCTGCCAATGTGGGCGACCTTCACGGTGTGTTAGCCCAACAGGATGATCTGATAAGAGCTCTCGAGGCGCAGATAGCGAAGCTCCGTCAACTATTGTTACTGCGACAACAATTTATCGCGTTAATCGCAGAGATCACCATCTTCATCGCCAAATACACCGAGATCGTCAGGGATATCGAGAAGTCTGGGCAAACGACTGAGGACAAGATCAAAAGGTATTGTAATCCTTGATAAGATGACGCGATTGTACACAACGTACAGGGAAGTCTTCGGGACTTAGTGAACGAAAGTTAGAAAAAAAGAATAAACTTTATTAATTTTAATAATTAAAGAAATAGAGCTCAATGATATTCTTGATTGCGAACAGGTACGACGATGTTATACTGAAGATTCAGGAGTGCGAGGCGACTCTCGCCAGCGCGACCGACAAGGGCCAACAGATAGCGGCGGAAGGTTCGGTCGTGGACAGGAACAACGTGACGGAGCAGCTGCAGTCGTTGAAGCAACAATTGCAAGCCCTTCGACGAGCGGTGGAGACGCAAAGGGAGCAACACGAGCTGGCGGCGGCCGAGCACCGGAGGCTCGCTAATGAACTGGCTGACATTCTCGATTGGCTCGAGAGTAAGGAGAAGGAAGTGAAGTCCAGGCCGCTCCTGGAGAGGGACCCGACCAGCGTCGAGGCGGAACTGAAGAAGCACCATGCCTTGTGCGCCGACGTGAACGAGCATCTCGACCGGATCAGGAAACTGAAGGAATCTGTGCGCCACGAGGAGGGTATGCCTGGGTCCTTGAAGGAGATGCTGAGCGAGGCGGTGTCCTTGCTGACGTCCTTGCCGCGGGAGATGGAGGAGCGCGGAAATTATCTCGAGAGTAACATGCAAATGAGGCTGGATTACGCCGCTCTTACCGACAAGCTGCACAGCTGGGCTCGCGAGGCTGAGATTCGGCTCGAGAGTAACAAGGAGGGTCTCGACTTTGAGAACATCCTCAGCGATCTGGAAGAACACAAGGTGAGAGGTTCTTTGTTTCTTCTTTCTTGTAGCGCGTTTCAATTGCTTGACCAATTGCTCTCTTCAACGCCGATGATCGCCACTCTTCCAGATCTACTTCAGCACTGAGCCATCGATTCGCGAGCTCGTGTCGCAGCAGATTCAGCAAGCGGCCGACAAGATCTGGCCGTCTTTAGATAGTTATGAGCAGGAGGAGCTGAGCGCCCAGCAGCAACAGCACACTCAGCTGCTGAAGAACACCCTCAACACGGCCAAATCGCAACGTTCGCGTTTGGAACAGGGCGCGGAAATGTGGAGGGATTACACGCAGAGCCTGGAGCGCGTTCGCGCTGTCATCAGCAGGACTAGATTCACGGATGAACCGGTCACCACGTTAGCCGGCTTGCAGTTCAACATTCAGAAGATCACGCACGCTCTCAACGACATCCAGGTCAGGAGTTGGTGGAAGCAACTCCGATTCTAGATGAATCTTTCTTCTCTTCTTCCCTTGACAAGATGACGTGACGTTTTTTGCGTCACGTCACGTCTATGTGTTACGTTATTATTTCGTTAATTACATAATTATTTTACAACATATATTACTGTAATAAAACAATTCAATCGGAGTCCTTCAGTTGCCGACGGATGTCGGCTTCTCTGGTGTTAGCAGACGGTAACGGTAATTATCACGAGTTACTTATGATTCGCAGAACCAACAGTTCGAGTTGGATCTTCTCAACGAACGTGGACGAGAGGTCCTCCGGCTGGCAGACGCCGGCAACAAGAAGGCGATCGAAACGCAGCTCTCCGAGATCAGCTCGGAATGGCGCGAGTTGGTCTCGGGCTTGGAAGGACGCAGGGATGCCTTGGAGGCGCTCTCGCGGCATTGGGAAGATTTCGAGGCGCAGTGGGCTCTCATCGAGACGCGACTGAATGCGATCGAGGAGAAGAACAAGCTGATCGACACAGTGGTGCGCTCGAAGCAGCACCTGCACGACACCGTGAAGGCACTGGAGGTGAGACGAGACGTTTCCTGCGTGTACGCGATTTCAATATCCTCGATGTGAAGAGCAAATCGCGCGCGCGCGTCTATCACAGAGAGGACGACAGAGAGCCGCGCGATGATCGGTACGAAAATAGCCACTCCGTCCTGAAAACTTAAATGTCGGTCGTGTAAAAATAGCCGGAGATATAGGAAACTGGAGAATCAGCCTGGGAGAGCGTGCTCCGCGGTTATTATCATCACATGCGCATAAATACGAAATTTTGTGTAACATAAGAGAGAAACATATAAAGCGTGTCACGCGAAAGAAATATTTTTTTTCGGCCGTGCGACATCGCGTTTCTACGCGGATGCACGCTTTATCGATTCACCGTGCCCGCCGGAGCCACGGGATACACACAATTAGTTCTGTCTTCCTCTCTTTCCGGCGCGCGCCCTTTATAAATGCCGAATGTGTCAGACTTGCACGGCCAGGCACCACACAGGTGCGCGGCCCTCCGCGAATCAACGAAGCACTTTAGTCGCTCGCGAATAATCATGCCACGACGGACGTTCGCGGAAAGTCTCGTGCTGACGCTTCATTTTGCACGCGATTTATTCGCTCCTCGTGTTCCGCTCGTATCCGATCGACTGTCGTTGTTTCTTCTTCGGGACTTGGTGTCCTGCCGAATTGAGAAGTGCAACGATGACTCGCGGACACGGTGCGAAGTCATCGTCAGAGACAACTAACGAATTCCCTCGTTCTGTTGCGGACAGGAACTCGTGACGGACGCTGAGAAGCTGAAACCTGCTACGGAGGAAGTGAAGAACTCGGCGGGACCTGTGCTCGCGTATCTCGCAGCGTTCACGGAAGCGCCAGCGCGAGCTCTCGAGGAACGTCTCGAGAAGCTGCAGAAATCCGCCGAATCGTGAGTCGGAGTGCATTTTATTTTGTTCTCGTGTCTGCTCAACATGGACCAGCACCGCAACTCGTATTATTTACCGCCAGCTAAGCCAGTCAATAATTGTCCATTTTTATGATAAACGACGTATTTGATCGAACTGCGAGTATTGTTGTAAACTGTTCCGTAGGACCAGTGACGAAAAATAGGAAACTTTTCGTGTTCATCATAATTATCCATCTTTTTGTAAAAAAACAATTCTTTTTGTAAGAAAACATTTTTTAAACAATATTTATCTTTCGCGTCGATACGTCGCAAAAGTGCCAAAAGATAGGATAACAGAACTTCGTATATTATATTTTTGATTTGTAAAATTACGTTTCCCCTGAAAAAATCAGCATCGAGATTTAATATCATGATACCGATAACAAAGGATGCGCGCTTTCGCTGTTACCGTCGGGAATAAACTCCGACATCTTTCAATCCGCGACCGGATCTTAGTCGCGCGAGGCTTTTTTATTGAACTTCGTGTATCATATATATTTCATGCGTTAGTTTATAGGAAAGTAGTTGGCAATCTTCTGGCTGGCAATGACGGTGCCATATGGGTCCTCCTGCGAGCAGATTTGCATGTGCATGCGTAAATGTGCATCTGACGCTTTCGCTTATATACCTCCCCTCCCCCTCTTACGACGTATACATTTTTTATTTCAGCAGCTCTACGTTTCATCGTTATATTTTTGTCGATGTAACCTCGTCACTGTTATAGCATTCCTTTCAGGTGACCTTGTCGTTTTGCCGGATGTATTGTTTAGGCTAGAGCAAACGTGAGATTCACGTTTCGTGCCTTTGTAATCGTTCGCGACGTTTAACGGAAGATTGCGCGCTCTTGTATGAATGTGATTTTTCCATCAGCGAAAAAGCAACAGTGCAACCGCGCGGATTGTGACGCGACACTTTGGCGAAGCCAAAGCCAAAATGTCGGCGGCATAATCCCACCACGTCGCGCCGTCATTCAAGTCATTGCCAAAATTATGGCACGAGCGATCGACCTTTCGGCCACAAAGTCAGTGGCAAGAAGAGTTCGCCAATGGGCGAAGATTACCAAGGTGCTCGCAATACAGTACAGTGTAATTGTTGAAAAGGCGCAACCGTAGATACGTATAATACATGCCGCACGTCTCTCCGAGCGTTCGGTTTCACAAAACCGAAGTTTCCGGAGTGCCGAGGAAAACTACGCGGAAAACGACTGACGCGAGAGTGAATCGAAAGTGAATGTACATTTTCTCGGAGGCAAGGCGTAATCGCTCGTTATGTCTATACTCGACGTTAATACGCGCGACAAATCGTCCGACAAGTAAATCCCGAGGATCGCGCGCCGCACCGAGCAACTCCACGCTCGTGTTCATTCAGCGAGCGACGAACAACGCTGAGTCAGCGAGTGGAAAAACGAAAGCCGAATGAACAAGAAGGAAAGGAACGATGCAACGCGCAATGCGAGCACCGCTCGAAGCTCGGGCGAAGTAACGCGACGTAACGCGTCTGGCGCCACATACGCGCGCGCGCGCGCGAAACTCTCGGCGTGTCTATATATAGAACGTACGGGAATATAAATAACTCGCAGATATACGCGCGTACATAGAGCGTGTGCAATTATCTCCATAGGATGTCCCGCGACGGATCGCCTCTCCGCCGTTCCTCTCTAGGCCGCCTCTCTCTCTCTCTCTCTCTCTCTCTCTCTCTCTCTCTCTCTCTCTCTCTCTTTCGTGTGATTTCAGATAAGGATCGCGCAGAGATCGCCTAATGAGATCGCGCGCGCGCGCGTTAATTCCGCGATCGGGCCGAAAGCAATTGTTGTCAAAAGTCGCGCGCACCACGCTTCTTCACGCTTCGCGCGGTGACATTTCACGGTGGCGAGGAGGAGACAAACTCGCTCCGATACTCCGATCGACCCGGCCGCCCGCCGTCTCTTCAATATACATCGCGCTACGTCACCACCGAATCCGTCGTATGACGTAACGCGCGCCTCTTGTAACACCGAGTAAACACTCATTACGGGAGAAGGCCGCGGCCGCGGAAAGAAGGTCAATACGCGTCCACCGGGAGTCCGCGGTATATTCCCCTACCATACTTTTCGTCGCCCGGTATATCGCCGATATATACGCCGGTTTATCCAGTCATCTTCGCGCCGGCATCGACGGCGCGTCGCTCACGACGATCGCGAGTCTCGTTTGCATCTCGTTGCATCCTCTCGCGAGCATCCGACGCGCATCGCGCTGATCGGAGTGTCGCGTTTCCCGACGGAGATTACAGAGACGACGTGTGCGCGTCTTGACACTCGGCCAGGTGACGGCGACGACGACGGCGGCGGCCCGTCGTCGCGGCATGACGTCTCGCGTATATCCACACCTGGCTCCGCGTGCCGCGTTGCGCCGTCAGTGTGTGAGTGTACTGTAATCATCGTTTGCACGCGAGACGCAGGCCGCGAGCGCGGCGAGAGATCGTCGTGAGCACTGATATTTAGACGATTGAGAGGGAGAGAGAGAGAGAGAGAGAGAGAGAGATGAGCCTACGCTTTGGGAGACACGCTCTCCCGAGGTACGGTACACCTTCAGCTGGCCGGGATTTCTCCTCTGCCGCGAACGTCGAACGGCGAAAGAGGGACCGGGAGAGGAGAAACGAGGGCCGAGGGCTGGCGGGAGTCGATTCACGGGCAGAATATTCGCGAAAACGCGCCACGCGAGCGAATTCACCGGGACGAGACGTATTGCTTAAACTTGCGAAATACCGCATCATCCCCCGTGCATGGCGCAAACGTGGCGGTCCTCGTTGTATATACAGTCTGCCTCACACGACCTCGCATGCGCGCAGGAAGCGGCGAGCTGCTTTACTGCCGCGCGATATCGACACACACGTGTGCCGCACGTTGTATATTAGCGATAAATTCTAATTGAAAACGTTTCATCAGCAGCCGCGCGACAACGAGCGGCTTATCGTTGTTTGATAGAGCCCGCGCGTGATAAAGAAGAGGGCTGGCGTTCTCTCCCGCGACACGTTCTCGCACGCGTCAGCCGCGTGTTATAGACATTTACGGCAGAATTTGTGCTGTACACATTTGCACGAAAGCAACGACACTCCTTTCTCGTTTACAAATTACCTTCGAGTTTCTCAGTGAGCGCGAGCTCACGCGCAGAGACACGCGCGGTGTCTCGCTCGCTTGGCGCACTCCTAATCTTCTTTCGTCGAGAGAGGAGAAACGAGTATCAATCCGCCGCAAACGACCGCGGTAATGGCGTATCCTAGTGTCACTGTCATCGGCACGCGGTTCGTTGGCCGATAGATACATTCGGCGCCGATCGAACGCGCGGGCGCGCTCTAATTATAGGTTTGACGTCCGAAACGGGAGAAGAACGTCGCACGTTAGCGCCCTTTTCGACTCGACGTTGTGCCATGACAACGCGCGAACGCGCACCTATGACACACGCTCCGTTAATAAAACGACGCGTGTTGACATCCGCGAGTCTACCTTACATGACGTGACATAACGAAATATGCCGTAACAGCCGGCTCTGACGAATTTTCTCGCGGCAAGGCGCGCGCACAAGTCGACGCGGTGAGACTCGCTTCGCCCGGTGATTTGCGAGCACCGGCTCGCGTGTAAACACTCCTCCTGACACATGACTTTTTGCATGACCGTGACATTCGACGTATCCCCGAACGTCGCCGACGGTCACGGAATTCCCCTCGCGATCGATTCCGCCCGACGACCAGTCGGCGCTTCATCTCGCGCCGCCCGGCGACGAATTTTTCCGCACGGCCTCGCTCGGTTCGATCGACTTAAGCATTCGGCGCGCGATCGCGACTTTAGGCTCGATCCACTCACGCTCCGATCAAATATTTGTCTCCACTGTTTATAACGTATACGTATTCATATTATTATCGGTAACGCTCAAGTTTCGGTCCGATCTCGCTGCAGTAACGATCCTTCGAAAGAATATTTTGCCGGTGAGCGTGATCGAAGTTGTCCGGAGTCGTAGCGATAATGTAAACAGACTTTCGATCAATCCACCGTCAGTTTCCGCAGACTCGCAGTTCTCGCAGTCTCTCGTGCAGTCTCTCAAGCAGTATCAAATAATAATAATAATAATAATAAGAAAATATGAATAAAGAGAAATTGTGATCACTTGAAAAAGCTACGTGTATATGTATAATCGTGTTATAATTAGAAATTAATTATGAACATATATAGGAAAATATGATAAAATATTAATGTTTCTTACAAAAGAGAGCAAATAAGAGCTGACGCCGATGTTCAAGGGAAATTAATGTTTAATCTAATAAACACAATTTTTTCTCAGATGTTTAAATCCTATTATTTGAATTTGCTTCGGTGAATTCGCTTCATACAAGATTTTCTTCAATCAACAATATGTTACAATTGTGCGAATAAAACCGATGCCTTAAACTCCGGTCCTCATGTTGTCTGCAAGCATTTCAATAAAATTAAAATTAAATTAAATGAAAATTAGGAAAGAATAATCCAATAAGGCAGAAACTACATCGATCGTCTGGGATAGAACCGAGAGCGGATCGATTCAATAGCGATTCAATAGTGTGAACATTTTAGGAACACGATCGGACCGTGAACGAACCGATAATGCGGATCGAGCCTGCATTCGCGATAGTCACACAGGGCCGAGAAGAAGCACTTGCGACGCGCGATAAAGACGGCCGCACAGCCGAAAGCTCGGCTCGATAGGTGGAGGACTTTGTTCTCAGTCCTGCGACTCCTGCGCCCCTCCGTCCCCGTCAAGGACGAATCGACTCCGCGGCAGATCGATCCGGAGGCGAGGAAGCTCCCGCGGAAATTCGTCCTCTCGCTCTGCCCCAGCAGGATGTTATTTGCACGCGTTGCTGCCTCTAGCTAGTCCCGAGAGTAAAATCCGAATCCTTCGCGTGCCGTCGGCTTTACACGTTCGCCGGCGTGTATTATTCTTAGGATGTCGTTCTTGGCTGGCTGAGCCGGTCTCAAGACCAGGCCGCATGCGTCGCGGCGTCTCGCCAACGCGGCCCGAGACTAGAGCGTCTAAAGCTAGCTTGCGACTACATCCCCCTAATAACGTTTCGAACCGCGAACGCTGCTGTTTGGCTTGCTAGTGCCGCGCCATATTGTTGTCCGGATAACCGCGGGAGCGAGGAGATAAAAGACGCGGGAGACTAAACGAGAGAGAGAGAGAAGAAAGTGTGCAAAAGTTCGCGGTCGCGCTCGAGCGCGAGCGAATATCGCGCGAATATTGCCGCGGCGCCGTTACACGCATAGGTACACAGCCGCCCCGTCGCCGTGAGGTTCGCCGTGAGAGACGTCCGCTCGTATGGGGGTGTTCGAGAGAGAGAGAGAGAGAGAGAGAGAGAGAGAGAGAGAGAGAGAAAGAGTGCCTTCGAGTTCGAGTTCGAACGCCACTTTCGAGACCCGCGGACGTTCGATCCGTACGCGAGGCCGATCAGAGGCCGACGGAGTGTCGGAGTCGGGGCGGCGCGGCGATTATCTCGCGGCGAAATTGTATATCGCGAATTACAGGCGGGATCGCGTGAGAACGGACTATCGTTTCGCGGCCAACCGCGGCGAAACTCACGGCGTCGGAAATAGACCGCCACGTGCGAATGTTGATGGCCCTCGGGCGGAAACTCTCATTGCGCGTCGACCTGACGAACCCGACGGATCGGCCCCCGGCGATCGCGCAATTGATTTCGCACTCGGCGAGCGCGTCGATCGCAATAACGGCGATCTAAACGCCGTGCCGGTTGTTTCGCGCGGATTCGCGGGTTGCGAGAGATTATGTATGCGAGATTTGAGGTGTCCTCGTTTGTCCAACGCGTGCCTTTGCGAACGGTCGAGCTTCGCGCGCAAGGAAGGATTCCTCGCGTTACGTAAAATGGAATTACATCGCGGAATGTACGACGACATCCGGAGGTTTCCGTCAGCCACGGCTCTAATTCGCTCCGCCACGGACGACTTCCCGAGTGACCCGTATTTTTTTTTCGGGTTCGTGTTGCACCTGCCGGCCGGCGATCATCGCACTTACTCGCGCTCGGCGCGATGATATATCATCGTGCAAAAGGAGTCGTCGCGCATTGAAATTCGACATTGACATCGGGGGGATTTTACCGGACGTCTTTACGTCTCTCGAGAACGCCGGGACGAGACGGGCGAGCTCTCGTTGGGCGGAGGGGAGGGGGTTCGCTGGTTTATATCATCAAGGATACTGACGCGGAGAAGAAATCGGAATTGCGAGACGCAGTCGCGAGATCGCGGATAGATTAACAAAGTCCCGAGAGGCCAGCAGCGAGTAGGTCGCGGAGAGGAGGAGAAAAGTGCGAGACGTATAATGAATTCCGATTTCAATTCATCATCTCGCGCGGATCATTCGCGGGAGTTCGCACCATCGCGGCAGAGGCCGTGTGTTGTCATCTCCGTGAAAATAGATCTTGCTGAGCGCGAGGTGGCCATCGAAATCATACGCTTTCCTGCCGAAAGGACGATGACAGCATGCGAGTTCCCCGCAGATGACATCAACGTTTAAATTATTCCTCATGATTTATGCACGGCGCAACCGGTCGCGCCGCGCCGCGCCGATACGCGGCCATCACACGACGCGCTCTGCGTTCGTTTGTTGTCTAAAAACAACGGAATTCCATTCCCCTCGACGATTAAAATAAAAAAATTACGTTTATGAAGAAGATGCGAATCGACGACGCTAGCGACGCGGCGGTTATTCATTCAAAGAATGATAATACCCGTTCCGAGGTGCCAGCCGCACCTCTATTATTACCTCGGCGAAAATCGGCGATGGCGACGAAATAATCGCGTCGGTGAATCGCGCGGTGAAGAGGCTGTCCTGCGGCAGCCACCATCCGCTCTTACAGCATCAGCATCCCTGTAGCATGCGAGCGAACGCGCGCGCGCGCGCGCGCGCGAGTGTGAGCAGTCGGCCAAACTCCTCCCGTCGCTACATACTTCCTCCGTCTACTTTTAGCCAAGGCTGCCCCGAGCCGCGACTTCGCCTGGGTCCGGGCCAAGCCGTGGCCGAAGCCACAGCGACACGTATTTCCGATTCTAAATCCGTCTCACCTCGCCGCAGACGATCGCTTAAGGCTGCCGATTGCTCCGCGTGAAATTCTTTTCCGTGGAGAAGCTCGCGCGTGCGGCGCGCGACTTCTCACCTCCCCGCCGCGCCGCGACCGGTGTCCTCGTGCTGAACCTTCCATTATTCGTCACTCGAGGAAGAGTTGCGCGTGCAATTTCACGGTCGGCCGGCACACGCTCGAGATCGCAGAGCCGGACGCGTTTGCGCATTTCTCAGCGAATCCTATCGGATTCGATTACTCTCGTGTGCCAGTTGCGCGCGCTCGAGACTTCTTTCCTCGACTCGAGGGAGAATTAAAAGTATGCCGGAGCACGCATGCTAACTCTCTCGGCTTCTTCTGATATTGGCTTCTTAATTGGAATATTTCAACTTTCGACGTACTATACGTATACGTATGTATTCAATGTTGAAAGTATAAATATTCGAATACTCGAAGAGATATACTGGAATGATGAGAATATCCAGAGTATTGGGTATTTCTGTTCTGACATTGATACTTTTGGCTTCAGTCTAGCTTGTCTCGATACTTTATGGGCGATACTTTATGGTCTCACAGCGATGTCTCACAATTGAATCGATTGTCTCGCTTGAATCTTCCCTTAAACGTCGACATGTACCTGCAATCGGACATGTTCAAACGTAGCGGAAACATAGCTTTAAGAGAGCCGCGCTCTCGAATCATTTGCGAGAGACGATGTCTCCGAGACCGACCTTGCGAGACAAGGTCTCTCGCAAGGAGAAGAGAGTGACCGTTCGCATCGTCGTTTCTAGACTCGTCGACTCGCTTCGTGGCAAGTCCGAGAAGGCGAGCGAAGACTTGGAGGCGCTCGAGAACATCGAGCGTGAGATCGAGCGGCTGCGGAAGCGGCTGAACGAGGCGCGCGAGCGCGCCTCCGGTCTGTACGTGTTCGGGGTCGATCAGGACGCGACCGAGGCGGAATTGGGCGAGCTGCGCTCGCAGGTCGAGGACCTCGTCGACACCGCGAAGAACTTCTCAGGAGGCACTAAGGCGCGGTACCAAGCTAGCCAGCAGCTGGTGCCGAGTGACGTTGCCCAGCATCTGACCGC